AGGTGATATAAGCTAGGGTGGAGACAGGTGATGCTTATCTAAAACTAACTATATATCTTTGCATTGATATTAACACTGGAACAGTTTATTTAGCCAGAAAAATACCGATACAAAGTGAACAACAAAATTAACGTGACAGCCTAGTGGGTGCCTGAGAGTGTGACGCATCGAATGAGTTAATAGCACAGATATGTAGTTGATTATAAAGGAAATAATGAATGTGGATATTCGTAAAGTTGAAGGCCAAGTCCAAAGAGTAGATAGGATGAAGAGGAAAATAATAAGTAATAATACTGAATTAGGTAAACAAAAAATGAATTACTGTGCCCGGTATACCATTATTTTGTCCCCTGTCCATCTAACACTCACTTACGGTAAACGGGGGAAGAAATATAGTCTCCTAAATTTACATATTGTACACGAAACTCTAAAACAGTTGAGTGTCAATGTTACCATCTTTATAGCTATTGTACAGTACTTACAACACAACATATAAGGTTAAATTAATACACTGACATCAATAAAAAAAAAATTCGAGGGTGATATGAGGATTTTTTCTTTGAGTATATGACAAATAAAATTGCAGAGGTGAAAAGGAATCTGGTTGATGATACAAATTGGTTGACTGAATAACGCGCAATACGAAGCGGTAAAAAATATTGGTTGATGTGTTAACAAGAATACTATAAATCATTATAGTCTAGTTAATACGAAATATTGTAATAAATGAGTTTGGGTTAATATCGTGAATGAGTAAATGATAACGACGGGATTAGTTGAAATGTAAATGGCAGTATTGATGTGAATGGCTGGGGTACCGTATGTAAAGTGATCGTGAAAAATAATTATAAGAGTGGCATTGTGAGAGGTGAGGAGTGTAAATAGAGGAATGTGAGGTGAAGGGGGGTGTATATGGAGGAAGGAGAGGGGGAGAGTATATGGAGGAATGTGAAGTGAAGGGGAGGGAATGTAGATGGAGGAGGGAGAGGGGGAGAGTATATGGAGGAATGTAGGGTGAGGGGGAGCTTAAGTCTGTTAACTTTATGTTCATTATAAGGAGACGTGTGTGTGTGTGTACAATACTTTCGTTAATCTATGACCCCTGGTAATAAGTTTATATTATTTGATCGCATTAGGAGCCTGTGAAAAGTAGTTAAGGTAGTTCGCTAGTTCACAGAAATGTACGAGTGCTTTTTTTTTTTACTTTTACCCTCTTCGCCACTGAGGATAAATGTAAAAATGACTCATACAGCTCTGTAAACTAGCGAACTACCTTAACTACGTGTACTCGTTATTTTCACAGGTTCCTAATGCGGTCAAACAATAAGCGTGTTGCAAGCCTCCACTATCAGCCCCCAGTGACGAACAACATTGGCGTAATACATCATACGTTCTATTTATTTGTTACACGTGTAGAGAAACGATATTTTGTAGAATTAGGTGAAATATAGTGAGTGAGATGGGGGGAGGTGGCGGGCCTGGCCTGGCAAGAGGTGGGTGGTGTGTCACTTACCTGTTGTTGTTGCCGCTGGGGCCACGGCTGCTGCTGTCTGGAGGTGACGGCGGCGATGGTGGTGATGCTGGGGCCAGGGTTGTGTCACATGGCCCTGGTGGCGGGTCCACTTGCCACACACAACACACACACACACACACCTCCGCGCCGCCCAACTGCCAGGCACACACTGGCCCCCGCGCCCACCTTAGTTCAACACCCACGCCCACACCTTGAATTGAAAGCTTAGTGTATTACTCTCTATCAAATTTATGGTGTGATCACTTAGCATATGGATAACTCAAGATTGGGTAGTGTCCTAGTGATCTAGACAACGTAAGAAGGGGATAACTGAGGGGATATAAGAAGCTGCGCTCTAGCAACTTGAGCGTGCGCGGTGTCATGGGGGTCGTGAGTCGTGCGGGCCGACGCGGCCATCCCCACCCATCGCTCGATATTCCTGCCTCGCTCTCTCCTTCCTTCAAGTTTAACTAATTCGTCATGAATTTTGGGGGCAATAATATTTATATTTGGCGTCGTTATGTTAACTAACTCTTGGCATATTTGTTCATTGATGTAAAGTAAAAAAGAAATTTGCGGACTTCTTGTCACCATGAAAATGGATCTGTTCTATTTTTTCTAAAATCTAAATATATTATCTATTTCATAACATCATCTTGACAGTTAAAATACTATTTTCTAAAGCATTTGATTGTGAAAGTATGGAAAGAAATGTTAGCACAGTAACAACATAACTAGGGACATTCAACAAGCGTGTGGTCGGCAGTGTTAACCCAGTGTAGTAGTGTGAGCCCCATCCCTTACGTCGCCATGACAACCTCTCCCCACTCTGATGCTCACTGTTAGAGGTGTACACCGAGGGTCACCAACCACACTTGTGGGTGCTATATTACCACCTAACACACCACCACTGCTCTAAGTAAAAAGAAAAAAACAATAAATGAAAACAGAAACACACCTGCCTGATTCAGAGAGAGAAGAGACCAAAAATTTAGGACAGCATTAGGGGTCAGAGACAGGGTTGAACTACGAGGAAACTAGGTCAGGAATGACGTCAGAAAGAGCGCTATAGAGAAGGTATAAATTATCAATAAGCTGAGGTTGAGTAGCATTTTGTAGTTATTTAAGCTGAATAATGTTGAGTTACTTGTAAATGATAGCACCAAAACATACAGTACCAACATGACAAATATCTTATAGTATTTCATAACCAAAAACTTACATAACCTTGTGTTAGTGGGCTCATATAACATAATAACAGAAGCTTCGGCCAAAATATTGATTACATATTAAACTATATTGTGTAAGGACGCCACTTGATCAATAGTCACTGTTGAGCTGAGCAGTATGTTGTCAGTATGTGGACAGTATGTTTTAGTAAGGTGGGTATGTTGTCAATAAGGCGGGGGGGGTAGTATGATGTCATTAAGCTTAGGAGTATGTTGTCAGTAAGCTTAAGAGTATGTTGTCAGTAAGCTTAGTAGTGTGTTGTCAGTCAGCCGGGTAGAGTTGTCAGTAAGCTTAAGAGTATGTTGTCAGTCAGCCGGGTAGAGTTGTCAGTAAGCTTAGGAGTATGTTGTCAGTCAGCCGGGTAGTGTTGTCAGAAAGCTTAGGAGTATGTTGTCAGTCAGCCGGGTAGTGTTGTCAGAAAGCTTAGGAGTATGTTGTCAGTCAGCCGGGTAGAGTTGTCAGTAAGCTTAGGAGTATGTTGTCAGTCAGCCGGGTTAGGAGGAGTATGTTGTCAGTCAGCCGGGTAGAGTTGTCCAGTAAGCTTAGTTGTCAGTCAGTTGTCAGTCAGCCGGGTAGTGTTGTCAGTCAGCCGGGTAGTGTTGTCAGTCAGCCGGGTAGAGTTGTCAGTAAGCTTAGAGTATGTTGTCAGTCAGCCGGGTAGTGTTGTCAGTCAGCCGGGTAGAGTTGTCAGTAAGCTTAGGAGTATGTTGTCAGTCAGCCGGGTAGAGTTGTCAGGCAGGAGTAGGGTCATGTTGTCAGTCAGCCGGGTAGTGTTGTCAGTCAGCCGGGTAGTGTTGTCAGTCAGTAGAGTTGTCAGTAAGCTTAGGAGTATGTTGTCAGTCAGTCAGAGCTGTCAGTCAGCCGGGTAGAGTTGTGCAACACAGTGATAGTAGAGGATATAAACTCCTAAGCGAGACATTGAGGTTATCTTATACAGATTCCGGTGACCCAAACACACACCCACCTACACAGTCACCCTCTCCCTCCTCCTCAGTCACCCAGGCTCTCCTCCCTCCCTCAGTCACCCATGCTCTCCTCCCTCCCTCAGTCACCCATGCTCTCCTCCTCCCTCAGTCACCCATGCTCTCCTCCTCTCACCCATCCTCAGTCACCCATGCTCCTCTCTCAGTCACCCCCTCCTTCAGTCACCCAGGCTCTCCTCCCTCTCAGTCATCCTCCCTCAGTCATGGTCACCCAGGCTCTCCCTCCCTCCCTCAGTCACCCATGCCTCCTCCTCCTCCTCCCTCAGTCACCCATGCTCTCCTCCTCCCTCAGTCACCCATATCCTCAGTCACCCCTCCTCCTCCCTCAGTCACCCATCCCTCCCTCAGTCACCCATGCTCTCCTCCCTCAGTCACCCATGCTCTCCTCCTCCTCAGTTACCCATGCTCCTCCTCCCTCAGTCACCCATGCTCTCCCTCCCTCCCTCAGTCACCCATTCTCCCATCCCTCAGTCACCCATTATCTCTCCTCAGTCATCCATGCTCTCCTCCTTCCTCAGTCGCCCAAGCGTCCCTCACTCAGCCACTTTCTCCCGCCCACACCTGCACCTCATTCATCCACACTCCCCCCCACTCATCTACACATTCCCCACCCCACTTATCAATACATTTTCCCCCACACATTACCCCCCTACCCACTTTGTCCCACATTCTTCCCCCACATTCCCCCTTCCCCACTTATCAATACATTCTTCCCCCCCCACATTCCCCTTCCCCACGTATCAATACATTCTTCCCACCCACACATTACCCTTCCCACTTATCAATACATTCTTCCCCACTTATCAATACATTCTTCCCCCTTTCCCACTTATCAATACATTCTTCCTCCCTCACTCATCCACACATTCCTAATTCTCCACCCTTACCTCTGCCCTCACCTCTACTCTTCCCCCTCAGCCGCACTTCCACACTGTACTCCATTCTTCCTCTTCTCACCTAAGCATTCCTTCTTGCACACTTTACCACCACCTTAGCTTTCCCTCAACTCTACACTCCTTCCCTAAACCTTAACAACAGATATTTGACAATGTTTGATGCCACACCTCTTACCCTCGGATGTCTCAGCATTTAGCATATTATCTCCTTCCATTACACCTTTCTGAGTCATTACCTCGCCAAGATCCAAAAGACCTCACAATATAACCCAGTGGTGTTTTGTTTGCCTAGCGCCATAATTCCCTAGTTTACCCTTTATCACATATTCACAGACTCGGTATTCATAACTCAGCTGTAAAGGTTAATAAAATCCAAAATAATCCTTGAAGTTTACATTTGTACAAGGGTTTAACCTATATAAAAGGAAAAATACTTCAGTATCAATAGTGAATTAGCTGTACAAACATTATTTCTGAAAAAGGAATTTACAAACATTCCCAAGGAAGTCAATGACAAAAATCCCTCCCATTACCCAAATGTCACTATGACATCCAGTCTACAGTTGCTGCCACAGCCATCCGTTCTTTAAAAATACATGAAAGAATATCAATGGTACTAAGTCTTTATCATAAAGACAATTTCCCCATTCAAAGCTTGGTACTGTGTACATTAAGATTCTGTCCTTAAATATTTAGATATCATACATCTCAACAACTAAAAGTTCACCCACAAAGGAGACTACCCAGCAGCTCTGCTTGCTGGTTTTGCTTTGAAAATAAAAAAAGCATTTGTCAGATGCTTGCAATTCGATCCTTTTGTTTTTAGTAATATTCAACACTTAAAGATAGCCTCAGCTCCTCTAATTATTTAAGATGATTTAATGTCTAATTATCATTAAGATAATATTTATATTATTCTTATGCGAGTTTCATAAAAAACTAGAGTACTATAATTTAGTAGCTACTGAAGAAAATGTTTAAATCTCATACACTTTATTCTGTCTTCCATGGCATAAGTATTTAGTACTACACAAATAACCGAGTCATCGCCAAATTAAAAAGGACAGACATACTTACATGGCATAAAACTGAATTTTTCTTGTCATAATGTATTTTTACAGACAGTATTAAAAAAGCCTCCTTCCCCATCATGTCCAGTAACCAGATGCTATGACCATTTATCATCACATATAGCACAATGACAGCTCACTTGATGCACTACAAAGTATTCATCAAGGTGCAGTTTTCAATGATGATAAATCAAAGAGTAAAAAAATTATAGAACTTGTGATGTCAAAAATATATGTACATAGTATCCCAACAGTTGACACAGAACCTTCAGATCTGAGGCCTTCGTCAAATGTTATAACTCTGATGGAACTTGTGATCATACACATTATAAAATTTTTACAATATTTAACCTCAGTCTCTTTTCCTCCTCTTGTCACGGTCATCTCGGCCACGGTCATCAGAATTTGAATTTCTCTTGCTGGCCTTTTTAGCCTCTGAGAGCAGACCAATGACACCGAACAAGTCATCTTCATCTTTCTCATCTCCAGGTCCAAACCTCTGGAACTCCACTGGACCAGACCTGCTTGTACCAGAATCTGCACCAGAGAATCCACGGTCTGGGACAAAGCGATTGGTGGACATGAGATGCTCTATTCCTGTACCATAATCATTCTCTGCTGTCCTGGTGGGCCGGTAGATATTTGAACCAATATTTCCCGTGTCACGCCAAGGTGCATCGTAAACATTATAGGCTTCTTCGTCACCAAAACCTGTGTCCATACCTCGCGACTGATTGAAGAGACGCTGATCAAACTGAGCTTCACCACCCCCAGCTGTGTTCTGGGGTAAGCCCAAGGCAATCTGTTCTGTTACATCACGCTCACGGTTGGCTAGTTTACCTCGTTTATCTGCAGCTGCACTTGCTACTGCAGTGTCACGTTTACGTTCCCTGAGTAAATAAAGACAAAAGACATGATAATTAGGTTTTCATTTACTGTACTTACATATGCCATATCCAAATGTGGATATGATATAAAATTCAAAATGTACCACATATTGAAATTTTATGACTAATGGACACCTATAAACAAAAGTCTTTAGGTATCCAATAAAAAAATGATAAGTCAATCCTAATTCAGGGGCACTGGTACAGCATATAACATAGGAGTACCATAATTAAACATTCGTCAGTGACAGTTCAGGACGTGATAGTAACCTAAACATTATGGTTAAAGTTGGTCACCACAACACAACCCCAAACAAACCTGACACACACTTTGTCTGGGGATTCTTTATGGTTATTTCTCTATCCTATAGGTAATTTATTTCCTTACCGAGCACGATCCTGACGGAGTTTCTCTCTCTCTCTTTCTGCATCATCGGTGGGACCTGCAGTGACTGGGCGAAGTCCTGCATGTTCTTCTCGTGCCTTCTTAGCCAGTACCTTGAGCGACTCCTCCTTTCTGAACTTCTCTTTCTGTGCCAGTTTCTTCTCTATTTGAGCTCTCATCTCCACCTATGAGAGAAAGCAGAACCTTTTTATGACATCAGCTTTCTAAGGTTATGAGAAGAAAGTACGATAAGAAAAGAAATGTATTTGTTGTTTCAGTGTTTTAAAGGAATGTTGCTTTGTGCTAAAATCTACAACAACATATTTGACTGGGAAATACAGTACAGTTTAAGATTAATATTATACGAGGCTGTGGAATGGATTTAACTAAAGAAATAGACATTAAACGAAATAAACAAGAGCCATTTGACAAAGAGGTGCACAGTGGTTATTCCATGGTAACTAATCTGAGAGATGTACCAAATCAAGTTCTACAACACAAGTTCAGTAAATCTTGTATTTTGTAATTCAGTAATATTATTAAGAGCAATGAGAACACCTTGAAAATATTGTCCCTGTACTATCAAACCAATGGTGATAATAACACTACAATTTATGAATTTTGCAAAAAACAAACAAAAAAACAGCATACTGTATTATCAAAATTAAGAAAAAATAAAAGAACAAACTTTATACAACTATATACTATTAATAATAATTGATGATGTGTAGAACAGACAACGTTACACCACCTGTTAGGCTTATGGTTCTGTTTATATAACTTAACAATACAGTATGGTACTCTGTCACATTTTTGGTACCTTACTGTATTTCAAAATACTACTATCGACACATAAAGAAATTCTTATCTTTACCTGTTCTCGGGCCTTTCTGTCAGCAATGTACAAAGCTTCAGCAAGCTTGGCAAACTTTTCATTAATGTGAACTGATTGAAGACCTCGGCCATCTGCTGCTAATCGCTTGTCAAGAGGAATGGTATAACCTTTAGCATTCTTCCAGTTACTAACACACGGTGGTATTCTCCATTCTTGCTGTTCTTTAACTGTAACCTAAAAAAATAAAGGTCTTATATTAACAGAATAGCATATATAGTAACCCCTTACCTATCTATCATCAACAACACTTTATGGCCACTTTCCACGCTGATCATTAATGAGATCAATCAAAACTGAAGACATAAAACTTTACATCCTAAAGTTGCAAACAACAGCATGAATCATGTCATCTCCTTTTACTTGAATGATGTGTAACTATTTACTCAGTGTAATATGAGTGACATTAAACAAAATTTGTATCTCCACTTTCAAATTCAATCAATCAACATTAACCCCAGGTGCTTGCCACCACTCTAACTACAGTAGTGTACTGTACATACAGATGTACCCTGGAATATAACAACACCTACACTCCTAACATCAACTGTCCAGCACTAATCTTCAACCTAATAAACAACTTTTGGTGTCCACTTCATATGGTATTCAACAAATTCTACATTCAACATTGCTATTTCACATCACAAGTGTAGAATTTTGTTCCTGACTAGTCCCCTAACTTGCCAAAAGACATTACTGGAAATAAACCCATAATGGCATTATTGGATATCCTCAGTCAAACTCACTTATTGTTTTCCATTACTTGTATACCTGCACTGTCTATGGAAAGTTGGCATCATAGGAAGTGAGAAAATTTTTGGCTGATAAAGACAACGGGCATCTACTCGAGGTAGCAGGTAATATTTTTTCATGAATGAATCACCCGGACGCGACAAATCAGTGACTAATTCATGAAAAATTATTACCTGCTGCTGTACCTCAAAGAGATGACAGATGTCTTCATCAGTCACAAAATTTCTCACTCCATGTGGCCAATTGTACATTGTATACCTGCACTTGCTCTGATGCACACAGATTCAATGTAAACTTGAATATAATAATTTTTTGAATAAACATTATCCAAAAATTCTCCAAATTCCTTCTAATAATGGTTGCCCCTCATGTAACGAGGATAGCTGACCCTAGGGCCACCAAGGCATGAATTTGTTTAAGGTGTAGAAGTTGTCACCAACACAACAGCCACACCCTGAGTTAACGAGTTGCATGACCCAGTGTCAAGGAATAGTCCGAGAACACCGGGCAACTCGCCAACTGCACTGGCTAACCATTATCCCGGAACACGATCCACAAATTAATTGACATCCAGGTTCCCAATTACTGCTGGGTAGACAGAGGCAAATGACGTAAAGAAACTTGCCCATTGTTTCAACCTACCCGGGGATTGAACCCAGGTCCGCTCGCTTACGATGTGAGCATGCTGACCATTACACCACAGGTGTAATGGTATATTGCACAAGTCATTGCAACAAATCATCTTCATACTTAAGTAGTTCATCACTCCCCATTTGTTCTTGTTTTCAGTTGGCGACTCATATCAAGTTTACCTTGCGTGTTGGAGAATGCATCACCGGGGCTGGAGGGGACGGAGGTCCTCGCGGTACTTTTTTGTTAATCCTAGAATAAATAAATGCGTGATGCTCAAGGATTAGTGATGGTGCAGAATTACCGGGAAGTACACGAAGGCTGGTGAGATCTCAAAAGGCAACATTAATAAATAAACATGTCAACAGAAGCCATAACTCTGGTATTTTTAAGCTTTGAAAATGCTGATTAATTAAATTATCAAACACTTCGGCAAAATAAATTTTGTTTTGATCCACAAAGCCTCTCTTAAACAAAAATAACTTCATACAGACAGATGGAAAGATTCTAAAGAAGGATAATAAAAATTACTTTTATCTCTTAATAACTGAAATAAAAAAAAATTTCTGTACACAAAACAATAGTACAAAACCCCATTTATGAATGCTTCTGACTATACTATTAACTTATGTTTACACAAATTTGACAGCTGGTATTAACTGATAAGCTGAGATGGACACTGTAGATAGAGTACAGTAAATATAGCTAGTCAATGAGTAATTCAAGAGAGATAGAAAGGAGTAACTAAATTACATACTGTACAGTACAGTACCACAACCTCAATATTCCTACATAATATACTGTAGAAAATAAAAAAAAGGACATTCACGGGAAAATTTAAAACTAAACATATTAATGATGGATGATGAATTAAGGTGGCAGCACACTGGGCACTTGCCCCCAAACATGTTGCCCGTTTTGCTGGTCATTGGCCGAAACGCCCAGCAAGCAGCAGGATTTTGGCTGTTGCAATAAATGGACAATGGTTTGGCGGGGATCTTTGCTGGCCGGATTAGTGTTCAAATGAGCTTCATATAATTTCAACTAAAAATTGAAATAAATCATGAAGCAATAATAATTTAAAATACCCCCCATACCCGTATAACACATAAACAGTGACATACTACTATTTATTCACCACTTTAAAACTTCTTTTATATTATTAAATTATTATTCATGGTCTTCTTTGACAAACCAGCCGCCACCACGTTTAAAGAAACTTCTTGATGCAACCATTTGTCTTTTCATTAGCTTTTGCAGGCGCCTCACTTGCTACAGCAATTGAAGAATTATAGCACTATCCTGCAAGGCCTCAATTGTAGTAACGGGATCCATGGCGAACCTCGTCTAGACGCTTTATTGTTGTTTTCGTTGCATTGCGCAGATGTGCCAACAAAACATCCCAGTGTGACGCAAAACATTTCTTTGTTTTGCTGATCGGACCGTGTTTGCCAAACATGTTTAGAGGAAAGTGCCCAGTGTGTTGCCGCCTTTATATACAGTAACCAGTATGTACAGCATCTTTAAAAGTGAGCCATTTCTCTCAATTATTGTAGGTAGCATATACTGTACTGCAAACACTTAAAAAATCATGGCTTCTCTAATATACTGTAGTTTACTAATGTTATCACCAACATATCTTATGCATCTTAAGGACAGACCAAAGGAGTATGTGGAGGTGTGAAATAATAATGGCATGTAAAGATGGCCCTTCAAAAGTAATGGATCTGCACAATGATAAGACTATAAGATGTATGTGGATATGTGCAGTCATTTAACTACTGTACTTCACTTCAACAACTTACTTAAATTTGGGGGGTTCCATCGGATCCTTGGGCTGCTCAACCATTCGGATGACACGCTGGGTGGCCCCCGAGTTGAAAGACACTCCTTGTTGCGATGGTGTATAACGGATGTACTGGGCTGGTGCTTGCTTCTCTGCACATCTTACTGGCATGGCTGATGATATCTTACCCTAATGTGAAGGAAAAATGGATTGTGTTGAAAAGTAAAAACTCGTATAGAAGATATAGGTAGAAAATTTAGTTGTAGGAAGGTAAAGTGAGGAAGATTTGGTAGTGTGGCCGATTAGTTTATTACTTGGTACATATTATATATTCTTAGGAGGAATTTTTCTAAGCACCAATTCTAAATACAGCTATTTATTAATTAACTCAATGGCATGGACACATTAATAGGTCACTATATTTACGTTACTACAGTAAAACGTCGATATAACACGAGATAGGTTCCAAGAGAGGTCGCTTTAAACCGAATTCGCACTAAATCGAAGTGTTGTTTCAATGGAATAATTTAGTTTGGTACTTGAGAGAAACACAAAATACTAAAAAGACTGAGAGTCTACCCAGATGCACCTCAGCCCATCTCCTAGAATAAACAAAACATTGTTTTTTGTAGTATACTTGTATTATGTCAAAACAAACACTCATAAATCAACACAGCTAAAATTAAGGGATGAAAAATGGTCTGTTTACTGGCTGGGAAGATGGGGGAAAGGAGGGAAGTGAGGTGATATGTTTGACAGTTGATGCCAAGGTTTAGTGCTTATTTATTTATCTGTCCTTAAGAATGACCAAGTTTTTCTCTTTTAAAAGGTCACTGAACTGACATGGGAGAATATAATTAACATTGCTGGAATTCTTATAAGATAGTGATTAATTTGAATATAAACATGCTATAGCTCGCATTAGACAGACAAATTTTAGTTCTAATTTAAAAAATTTATTACAAAGAGCAAAAATTTTTATCTCTTGTGCAAAATATATGACGTTTATATTAAAATTATTCGCTGTCTTGAAAGGATTAAAGCAAATTATATTCACCTAACTTTAGTCTGTGACATTATATAAGATAAAAATGTTAAGCCTAAAACACCAAACCCTGGCTGGGGAGGGAGGGAGGGTGGGACAGTGACATATTTGACAGTTGGTGCGGAAGGTCTAGTGAAGTATTCATTTGTTTATTTATGTCCTTTAGCTTGAGTTTATGTTTTTTGGTTATAAGATGTCACAGAAGTGACCGGGGAGAATATAATTTACATTGCTGGAATTCTTATAAGATAGTGATTAATTTGAATAAAAACATGCTATAGTTTGCATGAGACAAAAATTTTAGTAATCATTTAGTACATTATTTTGACTATATGTACAGTACAGCTTTGCCCTTAGGACAGTGTAGCGTGCCCAGAGAAACATTAGGCGCAAAATTTTAAATATGATGCGCCAGATTGACTCATGCAAAATAGGAAAGATTCGCTTTACATTAAAACATTGTCCTTAATTGTGGGGGTCGCTTTAAATCAATAATCTTAAATTGAATCGCTTTAAATTGACGTTCTACTGTATACAATGACTCTCGGACAACAAACATGAAATGGATACACTTCCCACCATAAGTAACTCACCCTAATGGATCGCTCTGACAATGACTCACGTGTGACCTGAGGGAGGCCCAGCGGTTGGAGAAGTTGCAGGTGTTGCTGGACTATGTCTCCCATGGGAGACTCTGCTAGCTGGAGACTCGGTGTTAGGAAGGGAAGTCTCCCTCTGGGAAGGAGCTGTCAGCCCCTTCCCTGTTACAATAATAATCAGAATGCCCCTGGAAGGAGCTACAGGCTCCTTATATTGGAGGACACGAGCCAGAAGATGTCGTCACTAATCTGGGTGTGTCTGGCCAGGTGACAGTTGTACTGGCTGGAGGGTAGCTTCTTGAGTAACACAGTCATGTCGCTGGGTTAGCTAATGACACGGTGGTGAGAACTCTGGGTCAATGTGACCGTGACCTCTCTTGGGTCAAGTCTGGACGGCTGTGTTTGCCCAGGTGCGTGGTCATGTCGCCGGTCGGTAATGCTTCCCGATTATTACCACCCGGGTGTGTCTTGGTCAGGTGAGTTTCTTTAACATGGTCATAACGCCGGGTTAACTCAGGTACCTTGTGGCCGTGACCTTTCCTGGGTCAGGTCTTACTCTCACTGTAGGGTGTGTCAACTTATGTGGGTGACCTGGGCATCTACTTAATGTTATATGTGCTGTAAGCTAAGGTCTGATAAACAATCATTACACCTCCCGCCAAGACCAAAGCTTCCATACCAGAGAACCGATGGCACATATAGACAGTAATAATCATGTGCAGTATCTAATATAGCCCCCGAGGCAATAATGCAATCTCACATTTTACAAAGAATAACCTCATAGATCTGGTATGCATGTTTTTCTACTGGCTTGGTTTGATCTGACAAAACTTACTATACCTCCCGCCAAGATCAAAGCTTCTATGCCAGGAGAATAAACACATACACAGTAAGTGATCATAGTATGAGCTTAACTAGAATAGTTGCTGAGCTAAAGATCCTACATATCTAGTATAGTATCCGAGAAAAACTTGCAATTTCACATTCTACAAACAATAACAGGTGTTACATGGCCTTGCCAGCCCATGTAAAAATAATGATTAGCCCAATCAGTAATATGGCTACAACATTGCATTAGGTAGTACAAAACATTTATAAATGAACTCATAGAAAACGTGACTAATCTTAAATAAAAAACAAAAAAACATTCTCTAGTAAATGTTATCAGATGTCACAGAATTAAATACTTCAAAATAAACGAAAAATGTGCCTACTTCCACATGTTAAGGTGTTTTTTCTCATAAAACAAATACAACAGCAATACAGTAGTGTGGCCCAGCATGGCTCATATTCTCCACCAGCTGGTATCAGGGATACTGGCAGCACAGCAGCAGTGGTAGGTTGATCCATTCGATGATCCACCTCTTCATCGTCGACTTTCTTCTGATGTCAGTACAGCACGTCGTGTGTCTTTTCTCTCCATATTACACACTTTTCTTCCTTCAGTACCGCACCTTGTAGGTCGTGTCTCCACACCTTCTGACTTCTTCTCACTTCCTCCTGGTTTATAATGCATCTTTTCTCTTAAATTAGTTTCTATCATATTTCTGATGAGTTTTTCTAGTTCCATCTGAGTTTCCTCTGTACAGCACCATTTTCTGACATATTCCAGATGTTTTTTCTTTTCCATCTGCATTTTCTCTACGTGTAGAACATCATATTCTGCCAATCAGGCCAGGGGTAGCCGGTCACACTGGACAACGTGTGGGGCAGGATACACGGACCTGGGTTCGCTCTCTGCACATGAGTGTTGGTGGTATCCTTGACCTCCTGCCCCACGCACTCGCAGCGGCAATCCCCTCCCTATTTCAGGTGGCCAGGGTTTGATGTGTGGTGCTGCCGCATTCCACACGTCTTAACTGCCTAAACTAGAAAAATATAAAATCTCCTTAATCCTAGACCAAGAGAGGACTTGAAAGAAGTGCAGTGGTGTGTGAAGTGCTGCATTCATCACCCTGCTTCTTTGCTCGTGTGTGCTGTGGTTGGAGTCAATGCTTGGTCCTTGGTCACCTCTTGATTGCTGCTGTTGTCGTAAGGCACCGTCATCTGGCCGATCACTGCATACAGCTTGGACATGCGCTGTCAGGTCATGCTTAAGTGAGCTGGTTATCTCCAACATTCGGTTGGCCATAGGGGCAGTACTGTGTGTGACATTTGACAGAGAAAGACAATCCTAAAGGGATGATGGATTAGTTGGAAGTGCATCCGTTAAAAAAAAATATTTACTTTATGCATTACGTCAATGTTTGGCAACTATGGGTTCCATTGCGACAATGTTCTCAAGGCTGGTTCGAGGAGTGTAAGCTCAGCAAGTATCGCAATATCAAATTACACGAACCATCGATTTCAAAGCATAGCTTATAGGACAAAACAGACTGGGAATTAGTGAGGTCACACGTGGTGGGGCAGAGTCGGGTGACACGCGCCAGGTGGGGTGAGGCAGGTGGGGTGGGGCGGGTGGAGTGGAGATTAGGACAGGGAGGAGGATGTAGGTCATAAGACATGTTAGGTTATAACAGTTAGTATAGACGCAGCTGCCATCACTAAAACACAATGGGTACATGTAGTACTGACCTACAATTAAAATGCACAGGGGACACTGACAAATTATATCAAGCACTGAACATATTCTGGGGAGAGTGTTATGCGAGTAACAATTCGCACATACCACGATGAAAAGCATTTACTTGCACTGTAAAGAAGACACACACTAGGAAACTTTTCACACTGTACTACATGGGCTTCCTTACTGCACACTGTTTAGCAATACTCAAACTGAATTAAATGAAGGGAGAGACATGCCAGGTGTAATGGCTAAGCGAGGGAGGGTGTGGGTTGACGTTAAGTACACTACCACCAGCATAATGAGGGGGAATCTCGTATAGAAGATATAGGAAGAATTTATGGTTGTAGGATTGTCAAGTGAGGAAGTTTTGGTAGCGTGGCCAATTAGTTATTCAACTGTTAATATATATTCTTAGGGGGAATTTTTCTAAGCTCCAATTCCAAGTACAGCTATTTATTATTCAACTCAATAGCATGGACACATTAATAAATCATTATATTTACGTTACTATGCAATGACTCTCGAACAACAAACATGAAATGGATACACTTCCCACCATAAGTAACTCACCCTAATGGATCGCTCTGACAATGACTCACGTTTGACCTGAGGGAGGCCCAGCGGCTGGGGAAGCTGCAGGTGCTGCTGGACTATGTCTCCTATGGGAGACTGCTAGCTGGAGACTCGGTGCTGGGGAGAGAAGTCTCCCTCTGGGAAGGAGCTGTCAGCCCCTTCCCTGTTACAATAATAATCAGAATGCCCCTGGAAGGAGCTACAGGCTCCTTATATTGGAGGACACGAGCCAGAAGATGTCGTCACTAATCTGGGTGTGTCTGGCCAGGTGACAGTTGTACTGGCTGGAGGGTAGCTTCTTGAGTAACACAGTCATGTCGCTGGGTTAGCTAATGACACGGTGGTGAGAACTCTGGGTCAATGTGACCGTGACCTCTCTTGGGTCAAGTCTGGACGGCTGTGTTTGCCCAAGTGCGTGGTCATGTCGCCGGTTGGTAATGCTTCCCGATTATTACCACCCGGGTGTGTCTTGGTCAGGTGAGTTTCTTTAACATGGTCATAACGCCGGGTTAACTCAGGTACCTTGTGGCCGTGACCTTTCCTGGGTCAGGTCTTACTCTCACTGTAGGGTGTGTCAACTTATGTGGGTGACCTGGGCATCTACTTACTGTTATATGTGCTGTTCTTCTCTGGGCTGTAAGCTATAGTCTGATAAACAATCATTACAGAAAAGATTGACAATTTATGTATTTCTTCAGGCAGATCCTCTCTCTAGCATTGATATTAGAAATGCTTTAACAGTGCACAGAACATTAAGCATAATGTAGTTTCTGTCACACAACTATATTCAACACCTATGTAGACATGTACAGTATTCAAAACATCACAATGAGGTAGAAACTATTATACACTTAATAACACAACAGGACAGTCTTTTACCTGAGTGAGCTTCTCTAACGCTTGTCTCGTTTTCTCTGTGGTGTCCTCTATTTCTTCTATGGATGGTCGCTGGAGCTCTGGGTCATCTTCTGAGGTGATGGACGATGGCAAAAGATCCGTCAGTTTGGAGTAAACAATCTACAAGGACAGGAGAATATTATACCATAGTCTTGAAATATTAAAACTATAAAACCAACATGAATGTGGAGAAAACAATACTTGGGAAACATATTCATACAATTTTAAATAAAAACACAAAAAATCTAAGTTATTAGTATTTTTGCCTTAAAATAACTTCACACATACTGTACATTGAGAAACAACTGTATTATAAGGTCTCCCTCTAACAACCTTTTATGTACTATCCACCCTTAATCCAAATCTTTTTCTTACCACTGTATATTCAATAATTTCCTCACTCCCTCTGTCATCCTCCTACTGCATCACCATGAAGGACCTAATGAGCTATGCTTCCTGACCTAATGGTTCATATTCTTCACTTTCATTATTTTCTCAAGTACATCCCCAAATCTTACCACATCACTGTAGTATATTATTCCATCGTCACACACAACACTCCAAGCATATCTTACTTTCTATGTCCTTTTTCAACCTTTTATCATTCTATCACTCAAACCATTCTGTCAAATAAAATCTGTGAATGCATTTCAAGTCTCACCTTGTCTTTTGCATGGCCTTGTCTGGCCAACACATCATATTTAACTTTGCCTTTGTCATCTAACTGAACTGCCAGTGCATTAGAAGTTGATCCTCCTCCTCCTCCACCACTGTCTCCTCCACCTTTACCCATTCCTAAAGGATATTGAGCTATGTGGCATTCGGGGAATGCTCCGCCATCTCCAAAATCCTAGAAGAAAACATTCTTATACAGTAATACAGAAAAATAGGGATACAAAGACAAAAATACATTTTCATATACTGTACTGAAAACAGATACAGAACAGTAATGGCACAACTAGGGCTATATGCATCGGTTACTATCACCTTGTTGAAGAATCTCAGAAAATATTACTGACTGCAGCATAAAATATACATTAATGTATTTTACTCTACTAATCAACAGTTTAAAATGTATTCATATTTACATATAAACTTAAGTACCTTTTTTTATAGAGAATTTGCATTCTACTGTACTTATAATCATGAAAATAAGAAATATAATATTTGTATATGCAGCTAAATATTGATCATCTAGTTTTGTCCATTCCATCGCAGTACCAAGCTTGCTTGTCACAATAACTGACCTCCTGAGAGCGTGGTAACCATCCTTTTCTGTGGCCATATGGTGGTGCTGCTCGAGAAGCAGTGACTAAGGCCTGCTGCTGCTGTTGGGCCTGCTGGTGGCGTCTGCGGCGCTCATCACTCTCACGGTCCCACACTGGTGCACTCACAGGTGGCAAGATACTAGAATAACAAGTGATGCAGTACTATACAGATACTTCAATATAACAAGAAATCAATTAAAAAATATTAGTGTATGTATCATTTGATAACACCTACTGTATACTCATTCATGCTCAAAGGTCGAGGACATAGAATTACTAACCAGTCAGAAACAGGTCGAGTAACATTTCTCGGAAGCCTCGAATCACATTGACCCTAAGGCTAATGTTACTTTTTTTGGGGGGGACTGTACATTGTTGCAAAACATTAATAAAATAATGAAATCATACCATATACTATACAATAAGTACAAAACAAGAAGAAATGAAGTGGAGAGGGAATTGTGTGTGTGAGGGAGCTTGGGCAGGTGGCTGGTGGACTCAACAAAATTCCCCAATCCCTTTATAACACAAGTTCTGTTTGTAATTTCATCATAATCCCCATATTAGTTATGTTCACGTGGTGCCAGGTTAATAAAACATTATCGTAAAAATAATCAATCACCTGAACTAAGTCAAATAGGTAACACGTGGCCGTAAGTTTTAAGGATGCTGATGGAGAAGGTACTAAGTTAATAGTATACAGTATTTCTTGTGAACTAAAATGTTTCATCGACAAAAATATAAATCAGAAGAGACAAATGGCCAAGTAGGTATAAGCTACCTCAGAAATACAGGAATGTAGATGTAGGCTTACAGTTAGCCTAGCCTATTCCTACAGAAATCACTACAAACTATACTACCCAGCCAGAGTTTTTAAGCTAACTGGAAAGTCAAGCATCCGGCAGGAGAGTAAAATTCCCTATCTGTTTCTGGTGTCTCATCTATACTGATTTACACAATGACTTTTTCTCCGTACAGTATGCCACTGCTTTCCAACCTGAAGCATATTGGTTATTTAAAACAATAAATAAATTACCCGAAGAATCTCCAACATAGTTATTTCACTTAAAGATTAACCTAACCTAATGCTATTTGGTGGGGATGAATTTAATTTAGGTTACGTCAGTGGTTTGATTAGGTTTGGTTAGTGTTATGGTGGTTTATGAGTTAATCGGTGAAATAAACTGGGGTGGAGATTCTTTAGGTGATCTCAATAAATCACCAAATTATTTATTAATGCCTGGTTTAGGAAGGAAAAATGTCACGAAGTGTAAGAGGATGCTCCTGGGGCGTACCAACGGTAAGGAGGCGTATCATATGTCCCAACGGGATGAAGAAACTGCACTATTTGAGACCGAATGTGAGAAGGACCTAGGTGTGTATGTTGACAATGAGCTGAAGTTCTCGGGCCATTGCGAGAAGAAGGTAAATCAGGCAAATAAATTATTGGGTCTTATAAGAAGGTCGTTCAGATATCTAGACGGTCCGTCCCTCGTAACGATCTTCAAGAGTGAAGTGCTTCCCCATCTGGAGTACTTTCACCCCGCCTGGTCCCCGAGATATGCTAGGGACTGTCAGTTGGTTGAAAATGTTCAAAGGAGGGCCACCAGACTGGTGCCTGCACTTCGGCACCTCAGCTACCCTGAGAGATTGGAGTGCCTGAACTTGCCTAGCTTATACTACAGACGGACAATGGGGGGGACCTAGTTGAGGTGTATAAGCATCTCAAGGGGCACTACTCAGTCGAGTGTCCTTTTTTGGAGCTGGCGGACGCTCGCCCCACAAGGGGTCACAGCGGAAGATTGAAGAAGCCGCAAGTCTAAAAAACTGTGAGGGCAAACTATTTAGGAGTGAGAGTTGTGAACTCTTGGAACAATCTACCAGAAAGTGTTGTGACAGCACCGAGTGTGAGCTCTTTCAAGACCAGACTTGACCAACACTGGAGCAGGTTCAGGTACATTCAGGAGCCGGTACATGCCCAGTACTTGCCAACAGTGAGTGACAGAGACGTGACCGATCAGTGGTGAAGAAGATAAAAGAAAAGTAAATCACTCAAGTTTTGTTCCTGTTAAAATGAAAGTTGTGTATTATTTGTTGTTTGCCCCTTGTGCACGAGCTCCTCCCTGTGCTGAATAAAATTGCTTGGCATTAGACAAATAAGAGTATTTAAAGTGGCGTCCCGGTAGTGAAGGCGAGGCGTGGAGAGGCAGGTGTTTCATATTTATAAATACAAACAAAATTCCTATACAAAGTCAAAGGAAAGAAACTAAATATTAACGACAATACCCGTGGAAAAACTGTAGCCAAACTTGGGTTTATATCAATCTCTAATATAAACTTTGGGTAAAAAAAATGCATCAAATTGTTAAGCCGAGCCTTCGATCGCCTCACACATCTTCTAAGCTCATATCTACTATCATGATATTTGTATTTTCAGTCAATATTCATTATCGAAGTCCATGTTAATGTGAGTCATATTGAGTTTGTCTGGTAAAGGCTCTGAAGGCCCAGGTGACCGGTAAAGGACATAGTAATGATGATAATGTTACTCACTCCGCCAGAGACACCATCTTTGTTGACACCTGACGTGTACACTGTCGACGAAATTGTTGATATATTTCTTATCTTATTTCTGTGACCTAACTTTCATATTCACTTTTAAAATATTGTTTTATGGATAAAAGTAAACTTAATAATTTAAAATATCTTCAACAATCAGTGAATAGTTTTAATAGAATATATTTGGTTAAATTATTTGTTTTTGTACGAAAACGAGGGTGAGGTGAGTTGATGGTTCTTTTTGTAATAAATTATAAAATTTTCAAATCATATTAATTTAACTAACAAAACACAAAGAATTTAACCAATATTAATTTTAATATAAAACTAAATTGATTATTTATATTCGTTTGTAATATAAAAAACTTATTTCTTAGCTGAGCACTAACAAGAGAGGGCGAGCACAAAATGAAAGTACAGTAATACAATTAATAAACATTAAAATAATCCAAAAATATCAAACAACAGTTGAAGTCCATAGTTTATACTTACAAGCTATAAGAACATGAACATAACGCTGAAATTTGAAAGTAAAAGCAGTAACGATCTTCAGGAGTGAAGTGCTGCCCCATCAGGAGTACTGCCTGGTCCCCGAGACTTGCTAGGGACTGTCAGTTGGTTGAAGAGGAGGGCCACCAGACTGGTGCCTGCCCTACAGCACCTCAACTACCCTGAGAGATTGGAGCGCCTGAACTTGCCTAGCTTATACTACAGACGGGCAAGAGGTGACCTAATAGAGGTGTATAAGCATCTCAAGGGGCACTACTCAGTCGGGTGTCCTTACCTGGAGGTGGCGGACGCTCGCCCCACAAGGGGTCACAGCTCAAGGTTGAAGAAACCTCAAGTCCAGACAACTGGTCCAGTGGTTGGTGCATTAAGTGACATCTGTGTTTGTTTACATCATATTAAAATTCTCAGAATGGACAAGTGCAGCACTGTATCTATATTTGTATGTACAGTATCTCTCAACCATATTTCTATGAATCTGTCTGTTATCTCTCTAAATGCATTTTTAAACTGTTTTGTGTGTATGTTGAGTACGAGATGGATTTACCTGACAGTGTTGTGACCATACTATATTACTGATCTATAAATATTGTGAGGTAAGTACTGTACCCATCAATCTCAACTGGCTTTCTGTAACTTTGTTGTGTTATTGTTGGTTGATGTTTACCATTCCTGGGCTTGAGTTGGGAAAAGCTAACATGTGGAATGCTCTGATTTGAATCTATTGATATCCAAATTGTGAACAGCAGTCCCATGACAAAAGTAACGTGGGTTAGTATTGTTATTTCTCACAAGACCACTGTTTTTCTCATTACTATAATTATATACTATATTGTTTTTTAGTGATACGTAATATCATGCTATATCAAGGCAACAATGTTATACTCCCCTACTGGGAGTTACAGGCTTAAAAACATATGAAATGCTTAAAACATATTGTTGGTTTATCCATCAGGAATGCTTTGTTGCAAGTTTTATTCAATTCTTTTAAATGACATTAACTTAAGTGTTAATATTTCCATGTGCACTTTGAGGTTTAAGATGGCACTGTATCATAGAGCAACACAAGCCAAAGCCATTACCTGGTTTATGTGTTGAAACAGATATACTATAGTTAAATTTTAGTTCAGTATTTCTTTTTTCACAGCTACTGCTAGAGCCCCCTGGCCTTGCCATGCTAGCCAACGGTGGTCCAGAGAATACATGGGGACCGTTACCTAGACATTCAAGATGATGTAAGGACTACACGATAGAAGAAACATGCCCGATTATGAGACCAAATAATGCCAATACTGAATGTCATTGTTCTAACCCCTTCACTATGGGGGCGCCGCCTTTAATATTCTATTTGCCCAATGCCAGACGATTTTATTTAGCTCAGAAGGGAATCCATACACAAGGGACTAAGCTGTGTGAGATTTTCCCATAAACCAACTTGAGAATATGATCAGGTTTCCAAATGTGTTGTACTTCAAGAAAGTAGAGTTTTGCATATTCTGATGTCATGCACAATTATAGAGCCATCAGCATTACTGTATGTTAAAAAGCCATTTGTCCACTTTAGTACCAACATACATTACACATACAGATGAAAATCAAGATGCAAAGGCATAAAAGAAATATCCCAAATAAAGTTTACTAAATATTTATAAATATTCTCATTTACATCACATGTATTAATTATTTATTCCTTTCGTGTTTTCATTTACTTAAGTACAGTACTCATAAAATTCAAAATATACAACTGTAGAGAAGAAAACATTAAAAAATCTCACTCCCAGGATATTGCAGAACACTTCACTTTGATTTAACTTCTGAAATTTCTCTGATATGCAGCAAGTTCTTGATCAGTGAGGACAGCGATGACGTGGGTTACCTGTGGGTCACCTTGGTCTATCTCCTCTTGGGCCAGACCAGTGGCTCTCCTCAGCCATCTGAAGACGAAGGCAAAAGATCAAGATAAAGATGAAGGCAGAGGTGGATGACATGTGAAAAGTACAATTTAAAGAAGACAAAATTATATCAAGTGTGAAAAATAGCCATAAATTAATGATGATGATGGTACAGTAGTGAGTATTAAAAAAATCTAATCCTTCAAGTCTTACCTCTAAACTCTAACACTTCTTTTCATAGCTGATGTTTACACTCTCTCGAGTATTAAATCTCACACTGCATATAAATACTGTACAGTAAAATTAATTCACATAAAGATAGACAGAGAAATACACATACACACACAAACCAAAATACCTGTACACTTATGCCATTCAACAGAGAGATCGATTTCACCTGTACCAAACTATATGAAGCTCATGCCCAGTACTGATCTGATACACTTTATCAAGACAGACCAAAAAATTGAAGAGGGACACTGGAGAAAAGTGGTAAAACTACCATGCATTTACATATAGCACAATACTGTATTCACCTTTACAACAAAGGAGTCATTACAACATACCCTTAAAATTCACGGGGGTTAGGTTCTCAAAATGGCCGCAAATAGCCAAATCTGCGAATAACATTTGCTGACCTGGGGGTGGGGTTACATTTTTACTCGCGTGCAAAGAAATGTACAGCATATTCTCTATGTATTTGTCCTTAGAAAATTTTTTTCTTTTACCTGTATTGTACAGTATATGTGTGTGCATGTGTTGACACACATACACAGAAAATACATACAAATAAATAATAATGGGAAAATCCTCTCACAAATAATCCGAAACAAGACAACAAAATTCAGAATAAATGTGAGAGTCTACCCTCAAGTCAACTCCGTGCTTTGTTATTAAAGTTTACTTTAATCAGAAATTAATGTCTCTAGAATGAATGTCTCCCTGTCCCAGCTGCAAAAATGCCAGCAACTTTAAAACTACTGTACCTGCACACATTCTTGGGTACATCCAGGGTGTCATCCACGAATAATCGAGGTCCGCTAATTGTCAGGGCATGCTGTATTTTCTACTAAAGGTGGTACAGTACTCAACCTCACAATTACCAGTGGAACAATTTCATACAAATTATTCATAAAAACGCGATGATTTTTCTTCCTCATCAAGCTCCCATCTTTCAACGTAAAGGTAACTTTTATAAATAGCAAGAACTTAGACTCTAGGCACTAGAGAAACATACAGATCTTGTTAAAAATTTGGACTGTGTTAAATTTTGTTAACAAATTTGTCATTAGTAAAATTTTTTATGCTGATTCTAAGTATGCAACTCATTTTTTGTGGAAATAAATATTTAACATTTTATTGGCGTTTGTTTACAGGAACAGTGTCTGTTTTTACTGTTGAATGAAAATGAGTGATAACCTACAAACATTGTTTTTGTCAAGCAAAACTGGTGTCTTGCACAAAATGCAGTGTGAGGATTGTGCCCAAAGAGAAGCAATGCCAAAAATGTCATGATATACAAATAAAATGTATTGACAGAAGATTCAATTGGCGCTGTCAGAAAGGAGGGCGTAATGAAAAGGTCTCCATCAGAAAAAGCACATGGCTGAATAGAATGAATCTTGATCTGGCAAGAATTCTGCAATTTATCTACTGCTGGACAAAGAAATACACATCGCTAAAATGACCTTACCTAACCTAATCTGAGTCACAAATAAAACATTTCCTCACATGAGTTTCACATTTAAAATCAGCATCTTTAATGCAAGTTTCAAAAATTTGGAACAATCCAAATTTTTAATAAGACCTACCATGTGTGTGTGTTACCACCAGTACTATAAAAATATTAATGCATGATCACACATGAGACTGAAAATTATGATTTTGTGAGAAACCCTATGGCATAACAGACAAAGGATTTTGACAACACTACTGGGAAAACAGAAGTCGTAGTGTTCAATGTGAAATTCATCCAACCCCTCCATAAAGATACTGTTTGGAGCAAGTGTACCTGAATATGTTCCAGTGTTGGTCAAACCTGGACATAAAAGAATTGACACTCAGAACTATCACAACATTATATAGTAAGACACTCCAAGAGTCTTTTGTGATAATGACTGTTAATTTCACACTGATAATACTTACTGTATTTGGTCTGATCCTGTTGGCAGAGAAAATTTCCAAGTACGTCGTCCTGTGACTCTTAAAACTTCAGTTTCTATAGATGCCATAAGCTCCTCCAACCCTTAGTTGTTACAAAGAAAAAAATTAACATAATAAATAAAAATATAAGTCACACAAATACTGTACATTGCCAAGTATAAATATAATACATATAAGATAATGATTCAGTACAGTGAAAGAAAAGTTAGGATTAAATTTTCAGGCAATATTTAACAACAAAATAATTCAAATCTTACCTTGGCCAGTAGCAGCAGACACCAAATGAACATCTTTAAATGCATCTTCAGGTTTTGCCATTCCTAAGTCAATTTTGTTTGCTACAGTGATAATGGGGGTGGTCTCTGGGAGAGGCAGAGAGGATAGTGTTTGGACGACGATGGGCCCTTGTGATTCATAGTCTGGGTGACTTGCATCACGGATATGGACAATAACATCCTAAAAAGAGATCAATTTAAACCTGCCTGAAAGAGCTGAAGATAATAAAGGAAATTTTATATATCAAGAGAATTAAAATAAGGAATAAATGAAATAGATGGAGATGATCAAGAAGAGAAAAGGAATTAAGAATAAAAAACACAGACAAAGATGGGAGATAGTTAAGCAGGAGATAAAGAGATAAACAAGAACAACCTACTTTCACACTTTAGCCTCCAAGGTGATCCTCTAAAAGTGAGCCAAACGCAAACTTCAAACAAAAAAGCTCGGGCAAGGTCTAAATCTGCAGTTTTACATGACACAGTACAATTATCCCCCAAGTTACAGAATTTTGAGTTATGGGATTCCAAGTTGAGGATAACATTTCAGAAACACAACCTTTCTGTAACTCAAGGGGTGACAGTACAGTACATGTCATACTTACAGCATAAACAGCATCTTCAAGTGTTGCCTTAAAAGAAGCTACCAAGTCAGTTGGAATGTCCTGGATAAAGCCAACAGTGTCGATGAAGGCCACCTCCACACCACACGGTAGTCTGCCTCCGTGAGCTGTGACATCCAGGGTGGCAAACAGCTGATCTTTCCCCTCGGCTCGCTTGTCACCGGTGATGGATCGGATTAAAGAAGTTTTACCTACAACAAAGTGATTCTGTGTCTATATTCCTCATATTTACCATAATTTTCCCTTAATTCATTCATTACAGGATACCACTTGTAATATTTTATTGGCTAATGCTGGACGATTTTATTCAGCAGAGAGGAGACCCCGTACATAAGTGGTGAAGATGTAAAAGCAACGTATCTCTAGTCAAGCAATGTTAAAAAATAAATTACCATGATACAGGGGTAGAAGGTTTTGTAAATTGACTATGATAATAAAGCTCTTTGTTGTCTATGTAATTAATAAAAGTTAAAAATGGGAAAACAAGGAAAACAATAAAAGCAAGAAAATAAACCACCAAATAAATAATCAAAATGAAAATAAGAAAACTGCCATCTATCCACACTATACATACTCCATATCAATTACACTATATCCACTACACATACACTACACATACGAGTACACTGCATCCACTACACATAAATACATCCACTTCAGTACACATTTAGGGGTGAGGGTCAACCACTGGGGCCTCAGGCAATAAGGACCATTCACTGTAAATTGGGATAATTTTACCTGAACTTTGAACACATAATTATTGTTCTCCCCATCACTAAGCTCAAACATTTAGTTAATAAATTATCTATCATAGTATAAAGTGAATATTATTATTATTAATATTATTGATATATTTACCAGTAACTGTACTTCCATATAAATCTTACATCAGGATAATTTATACCATTGAAAAAATCTTTTAATTAATTTCTTATAGTTTTTCATTGTTAAAAATTCTCTCTCTCTATTTTTAAAATTTTTTCCTTTTCATTTCTCTCTCCTAATTGTTCAATACTTGAGCTACCTTCACGAACTTGGCTCAACACCAGCGACTGCATTGAAGGACACACTACCATAATTGTCCTCTGACTTGGTCGCTTGCCATTGGTGGGTGGTGGTTTGGTTAACTTTTGTATTTTGACCTTGGGCGGTGGAGGAGGAGTGAGCGGTGTACGATTGGGGAGGAAACGCCATTGCTCATCTGAGGTATGGACCGCAACATATCGCACAGGCCCTGCAAACACCCTCTGAACATTGGATCAGGATCGGTGGCCCTCCTTGACCAGATCAATAGGTCATGATATTTATAACAATCAATATCTTTATTCATAAAAGTGGACCCCTTGAGCATGACTGTCCGTTATACAAAACTTATAAGGTGACCCGTACTATAAAAGTCTGCATGAGAGGTGAGGCACCACTGGTTCTTACCACCTCTAGTGCCACATGATTAGGTGCCACTGTTCCCTCGTGAATAGACGAGTACAGTATTCTCTGATCTTCCTACACAGACTGAAACCTTGTCAGTCTTCTCAACACAAATGTTAATTAATGGACTTAATATCAGTGTGCATCATTCCCCAAGCCTCCACTTGTAGCAAGGTGTTGCAGCATATCTCGGGGACCAGACAGGGTGACAGTACTCCAAACAGGGAAGCACTTCACTTTTGAAGAGTGTTGCAAGGGATGGACCATCTAGGTACCTGAACGACCTTCTTAGTCACTTGATTCACCTTCTTCTCAAAATGGTCTGATAACTTCAGTTCATTGTCCTTTTCACATTTTGTCTACGTTAATAATGTTCTTCATTCATTTGGGATCTCCCTGCATACCTAGTGCCAGTAGGTTTGATCTTGGGTATATACAGTACTGTATATTTATCAATCAAATAATTCACTTTACTGTCTATGATATTCAGGGTTGTACAGTACCAGCATTTTTGTTTCTTAGTGAATCAGGCCAGTGAATGCCCCTTTATCCCCTCCCTCATCCCATCATAATCAACCTTGTAATATTTGAACCTTGGCCTGCTCTTATCATCAACCATGGTAAATTGGAAATTGTATATATGTATTGCCTATATACATGCTAAACAAACTGTAAACTTGTACTCTACGTATAAAAATTTTACTGAATAAATACTATTACAGTACTATAACGACTATTGGTGAATAAGGTAATGATGAATACACAGTACATAATATGAACACTTAAAGCTAATTACCAGCATTAGTGTAGCCAACAACTGCCACTGTTGGTAGGTTAGACCTCTCTCGGCCTCTCCTGACTTGTGCTCTGATCCCAGCTAACTTGGTGAGAGCTGCCTTCAGTCGCTTTTCTCTCTCCATCACCATTGTGCGTTGTGTATCTCCTGACACTCTCTTCCTGCACAAAAAGGAGAAATAATAAAACACTTTTCCAGATTATATTCTGTCTTTGGTTGTGGTAATACAAGGTACTAAAAGCATGAGAGTAAGGTCACAAAATGAGTGTTGATGTTAGTGGTAATGAGTGTACAGTATCCCAGACTCCAGTTTCCTCCTGTACTAACTAACACTGAAGAGAACAACTGCCCGAATGGCTAGTAAGCTGATAATAGGATAATGATTAAACAAATAAATAAATAAATAAAATAAAAAATCTATACTATTACCGTACTGTACTGATTTATACTTTATCTATGACTGTGGTGAGTCATAACCTCAAGGCAGGGGAAGACATATTAAAACTTCCCAAGGCTGTTCAGCCATAAAGATTTTCATTCTCAGCTGATAAGCTGCAATACAAAAATATAAACCCTGGAATTCTTCTTAAAAAAAAAATTAATCCAAAGAGAGTGATAAATGCCCCAGTAAGAATTTGTAAAAGGAAAGTGGAAAGGACAATGAAAGGTATTCAAAATAGGAAGCAATAAAAATAAGGCAATCTGTGAAGGATACATGATCTGGGAACTCAACATAGGCCATCAAAGGTGCTGTAGATAGGAAAAATATAACTACTTTACAGAAGAAACTCATTTATTGAGATGCAGCAACTCTTTCTAAACAACTCCCATGATAAAAAAATAAAAAATTACCATCATCACAATGTTTAGTGTGAGGGGAGTCAAGGTAGAGAACAGTCAATGGCTCTAAGTAGCAAGATAACTCACCTGACTTTAACAAACTTGTGTTCTTTTGAGCACCTTAGGTTAGGCGGTGATAATGACCTGTTTTCCCAACCATGTGATAAATCTTTGTTCGTTAAAAAATATCACACACACTTCAGAAAATGAATCCAGTAGAGAACAAACCTGATGTATGGTAATTCTGCTAAAGCCACCTGAAGTTTGGCCTCTCTGGTGCTGGCATGATGACGAAATATACCCAAGACTACAGAATACCGATCGAGAACCTTTACGCCAAACATTTCTTCGAGTTCCCTGAAAAAGAAAAGTTTAAAGTTGGGGTTTTACATTGATTTATAAACCCAAAGAATTAGTTAAAGGAGTATAGTGTTAACAAGAAACTAATGCTGTGTAATATAAATCTCATCTATACCTTTAACTTAAGTCACAAATTAAATAAAGAGACAATGAAGGTACTAAATTATGCTACCACCTGTACTATCATCATCAATTTACATCACACTACAATTCTAATAATCAATAATGACTTTATTCTTGTTGTATCAATAAATACAGTTGTATATCATTATTAAATTAATACTGCATGTACTTCTGAGGACAAAAGAAATAGAAGGAATAAAACAATGAGACACGCAATCTCTAAACAACTTTACATAACTGTTTTCATTAGTTAAGTGAATGAGTATACAGTACATACATCATCTGGAATTTCTTCATCATATCAATGCTAATGAAGACACAGGAAGTGGTACTCGTGGAGCGTATCTGGGAGGCGAGCCGCTCCAAAGTTCCTGATCCAAAGATTGTTCTTCCATCTAAACTTTTTACTGGTACGACCTCCTTTGAAATAAAAAAACAAACATTAAAACAACATAATTATACACAATACAGTATATACAATACAGGGAGTCCCCGAGTTATGAATGGCTTACATTCCTGGACCTTGTTGTAAGTCAGAATAATGCCAATTCCATAGGTTAGGTTAAGCTAAAACACAACCCTGCCCATACAAAACAGCAATAATATCCCATACTTAAGAAATAATGTAAATAGGTTTGTATATAAAGTGATGTTAAACAACATTATATAAAAGATAAACAGATTTTTATTAAGAAGATACGTACTGTATTGGAATCACTTTTGTAAGTATGGGCGTTCATAGGTTGGGTGCTCTACTGTATGTCGGGGACTCCCTGCACAGTACAGTATATGTATTCCAACAAAGTACTGTACCAGTTTGTTTATTGTTTGTTACATTTTACTCAACAGTTTTGGTTCAGTTAAGGTATTCAGAAAATTTGTAATTCACTCAGTACAATACAGTACCTGATAATCACCTTTGCCACAACACGGACACCTGGCAACGTGGAGATGAGAGCTACTGCTTCATCTAACATTAACTGTCCTGAAGTAGTCACCTTCTTTTGAGGCCCCCACTTCACCCACGGCTGCAGGACTACTACACCTAATTCTCTGATGGCAGCCGAGTGAGATCCGATAAATCCTAAAATTTTTGAGTCATGTCTTAAAGATTCAAATGTTGGGTCATCCAAGAAGCGATCGTCAATATCCTCCTCAACTACATCAACAGGTTGTCTTTTTTCTTTGGCACTTTTCTTCTTCTTACAAGTTACTACAGTTGTGGTAAATGGTCTCAAGCTTATCATACAACTGCTCTTGAGTAATGGAAGTCTTACAAGATCAGTGAGACTTGAAGTTGAACATGACTTATAAAACTGATAAGTCATGGTTGAATCACCTGCAAATGCTGTATAACTCCTGAGAGCATTTTCAGTTCTATATACTTTTAACCTTGAGGAAGAACTAACCAAAATATTTTCACATAGAGAAACCCCCGATCGTAGAACTCCAATATAAGCCATTTTGTTAGGAGGACACGCTAGTATAGTGCTGTAAGACTTAAAAGCTGTTCCCTATTATAACACCACAACAATTAAAAATATATAGTTCTGTCTATATGTGTCTTTGAACTTGATTTTATGAATAGAGTTGGTTTTATCCTCTTCTTTTTTTTCAGTTGGTTAATCGTCCTCCTCCTCAGCAGGTATTGGTCTATCAGAAATTGGGTTTAAAAAAGTGTGCTTGTCCTCAGCTGCCATCCACGCAGCCTGGCAGGCTTTGGCTCGAACAGCTGTTACTTGGTACGCGACGCCACAAGCCACCAAGCTTGACACTATGATGTGATTCTTGCGGCTGTAGGGAAGGTATTTCACCAACAAGTGCTGACTGATATATGTGCCTCCAAAAGCTGCAACAAGAAAGGTACCATATTAAACTACAATAACACTCAAATTTACTGTAAATGAAAAATCAATTTCAATAACACTTGTGTTGTTTGAATCACTACAATTTAAAGTACAGTAGTCCCTCGCCAACCACGGGGGTTAAGTTCCTCATAAACCCCGTGGTTGTTAAATCTGCGGTTGGCAAGACTAAAGGCTTTTGGGAAATAGCGGGTTAGGTTTTATGGCCGCAGATAACACTCATAAAAGCCTAACTAAGTTGCCTGTTCCTTCACTAAACAATAACTATATTGTACATTTAATTAAATTTGAGTCAAATATATATAAAACAGCTAAATATAAATTAACTGGTAATATAAATTTTACAGTACGTACTTCTTCATGGAGAAGGTATGTTGCTATAAAATAAGAAAATAAAATAAATGAAGAGCATGAGTGTGTATGTGTGTAAAGTGAACATGTGTGTGTGGACTTGGCAGGTCACCAAGTTAGACTGTTCCTGTAGCTACATCCTCCAGCTCTCCCTCTACCAGGCCAAGCTGTGTGTTGTTATTTTACAACTTATAGGTTCGGGTGGATATACTGTACCGTACATATTTGTATTTTTATTTTTTTTTACTGTACACACAATCGTTCATACAAAATGTGCAAAAAAAATAAAAGAAATGTTAATCCTAAGGTAAAAAACATCAGAGAACAAACATTTTTACATCCACAGGAGTTAGCCCTTGAACGTGGGAGGGAGGGGAGAGTGTACCTCTGTCTCCCTGTGTCCTTTGTGAAATGACTGCCAAATGGCAATGCAGTATTTTTTTATTTTATTAGAATCATTTTAATCCATTCCTCACAATCCATTCCTCACAATTACTAGAATCCCCCTACCGTGGATTGGTTGGAGAGAGTCTACTGTATTCAACAAGGAGTCATATTATGCATGTTTTGTTTTTGTTTTTTAATTAAATATATCTTCCTATATATATACAACAGAGCTATTCTGTACAGTACAGACTTTGAATTTCTCAAAATAAAATGATTGAAAGTTTAACTTAAACTTAAACAGCATAAAAAACAATATTAAACCAAAAATAAGCAAAGCCAAAAATTTTTGAGTACAGTAATTATTTTCCTTTTCATTGATAAAATAGCAGAATGCCTAACCCAACCTAATCCACCTAACCTAACTTAACCTAACCCAACCTAATCCACCTAACCTAACTTAACCTAACCCAACCTAATCCACCTAACCTAACTTAACCCAACCCAACCTAATCCACCTAACCTAACTTAACCTACCTAAGCTAAACGATGCCAGACCCGTTAAGAACGTCCGAGACATGCACTCCATATAGCCTCCAAATGCTGGAAAAGCATCCTTGTATTGGTTGATCACCTCTGTGTTGTTGTTCATCCTTCACTGAAAAGAAGAAAATACACAACAAAAACATTACCAGGCAGATACTGGGCTAGTCTGGAGGACCTTCACAGCCGCTTCTCCCCGTCTCAGTAACTCTAAGTTCACCCACGGTAGGTGTTAAGTTATTCTAGGTTAGGTCAGTTTAGTTTAGCTTAGGTTAACTTGAACTTTTAAATAAACACTTTTTAACACATTAGCCATAACTATGGCAGTGTTCAATATAAAACACAGAGAAGTTGAGGCATTTTTAAGAATTAGTTTTCAATTAAAAATCAGCGGCTGCGAAGTCGTAAATAATTACCAGATACTGTATAAGGTAAAAATAATTAAGCTGGAAAACAAATAATAATATGTGATACTTGTAGACAGAAAACGGTTAATATATAGAACTAACCCGCCAGGGCTGCATAGCGCCGATGCGGCCATATCATCTCACGTCCAGAAAATGCCTAAAATTTCACCATATCATAGTAAGTTCTTTCTGTTTAATATAAGGGGAAGTTAGGTAAGGTTAGGTAGGTTTGTTTGGTTTGGTGTGTTCTTCATACCAACAAATGTTAAGTATCATTTATTTCTAAAATATCCACTTTTTAGCATATTTCCACAAACTACAAGTGTCCATTATAATATAACAATGAAAATCCGGCGTTTTTATAATTGTTTTCAATCAATTTCGCAAGCGGGTTAGTCCTACATAATTACCAAGAAAGCAAAACAGATTAAAATTAACTGTGATAATTATTAGCTTATTAAAGTGAAGAAACGAATACTGTATATAAAAAGCTGGTCTAAACTATCAGTAGTACATTAACAGGTGTACACTATTCTCAGAACAACGAAAGTTTAACAACATTTTGATGAAGTTAGATAAGCATAACTAAAGGTAATAAACGTTTGATATTTTTCTTTGGCTGCTCCTGGTTTAACAGACTTACAGTTTGCCTGTTTCTCTCCCATAACTACTATGCCGAACCAATGTTTACTTATATGCCAAATGAAGCTTAGGACAGGTAAGAATATCTTTGCATAAAATAAACCAATGACAAAAGAATTCAGTTTTCATATAAGAAATCTTACGAATAATTACTTCCTTCTCGTTGTTCCTCTTTCTTGTGATAATATGGTCAGTCTTCATAACAGCTGTTGACCTGCGTGGGGGACCTGCGCTCACGGTCCTCCTGCAGGCGACACAACAGCTGGCCAACCCCGCTACATTTAACTTCATTTATCATAAATCCTCCCACCTGTCATCTTACTAACTGCCATTTTGCCGATCGTTTTGTTCTCCTTTACCTTGTTAAAAATCTTAATTGTCCAATGTTAGTACAGGAGGAAAATCTAATAGAACCTGCCATGTTGGGAAGGATCATACAGGTTCTCATATCCGACCCTGGGTCAGGATGAGAGTGCCATGGCTGTATTGTGGGGTATGGTTCACACTCAGGATGGGATGATGAAAGGAAACTCACGATGTGCTCTCTGTATACATGTTGTATTGGATGTACAATGCAGCTTGGTGCTGGGAAGGCAGCATGGTTACAAGCGTGATGTAGAGAGAGCTGGTTGGTGAGGGTGCTCAGAGGAGGACCAGCTTGTGGGTCGCCATGCTCGCCGGCGGGAGTGAGGACCGCCAGGCAGCAGCGGAGGAGGTGTTGCTGGCTGGTTGGTGTAGGTAGAAAAGAGGAGAGAGAGGTCACCACGAGGTCAGGTCTTTTATAGCGGGGGTAGGCGTGGCTTAATAGTTGACCTCTGTCATGTAAGGCGGCGCTGGTTGACCCAGACCACGAGGCATACACTGGGGAATTCGCGGGTCGGCTACTCAGCGACAAACAGCGTTTGTAGGGGAGGTATCCACTACATTATTATTAGCACAATCACCTCCACTGCAGCAACCACGACCATTTTCCAATCCTATCTAAAACTGTTAATAATGTGATATTAATAAAACTCACACCAGCATCGTCAAGGAATGGCGAGTTGGTTGACAATTTGAGTCATAATACACATATTGATCAGTGCACTTGAGTTACATAATATTTTTTCATGAAGTCTGCATGTGTGTTGGAAAACATTCGACAGTGTAGTAATGTACTGTATATCATTCTGGCTAAGGATTTGTCAAATTATTGTATAATAATAGCTTCCTTGTATGTACTACACCCTCAAGAATTCTCCATTATAACTACAGTACTAGTAAATGGGAAAGAAAAACGAAATATTGCAATTTTTTGTCATATTTACTGGGTTTTATTCATCTATACATAAAATGAATAAATATGAAGCATAATGCAAAATAAATAATAATAAAAAATAATAATGCCCTAATACTTTATTTGAAGAATGTTTTTTCTTTCCACACACACAGAGCTCAAGTAATACTTTTCTCAAGATGTTCGTCAACACAACTCATGGAGAATGGAATCAAGAATCAATTTTGTATCTATCTTTATGGCATAAGCATCCCAGTGTCCAGCAGTGTGGCTCATGTCTTGTCTTGTCTCCTCCATGCCATTCTTGCCTCACACAGCAAAATATAACATTCTTCCATACTCACCTCTCTTTCATTCATATTCTCTCTCATTCGAGTTTCAAACAATAACATTTCTATTCAATATATGTTCATATATTGAGTTTCAAAGATCATATATTGAGTTTCAAAGATATTTTATGTATTTGCATTTGTCTCTACAATGTACTGTACACTCACTCCTTCAGTGTACAGAATGCAAAAGTACTGTATTACAGTACTGTATCTGAATACACAGAGTTCGTCAGAAACCATATTCTGTACTGTGAAGTTTGTCTGTACATATTCCATACATTGCTGACCATCTCCAAATACAGTACAGCACAGTGTTTTTAACCAACTGCAAAAACAATACAAACAAAAAGTTTATAACAATCTCTATGCAGAAAAGTTAGAAAATAAAAGGTACAAATTCTATATACTATAGAAGTTTGTGTGTACAGTATCTGCACACCGTCAAATATCAAAGTGACAGTCACTACACTCACAATGTTTGATAGAGAATTGTGCATACTAGTCAGTAGAACTACCATATGAGTGAGGTGGTTGTCACTTACACAGTATAATGCCTATCAAATTGTACATAAAGGGAGAAAATAGGTTGACTCCCTTCATGTAGGTCTTCCATGAACAACGGGTTCAACAAAGAGAGTTCAATCCCTGTATAAACACCCAAATTTATAAACAATACTGTAGTTATTTACCTCTTGTGTACCTCATTCTAAAGTAGATTCAGATAAATAGTTCTTGGTCATTGAACAATCAATCTTAGTTGCTCATAGAAGCCCAACTGTGGGAAAAATAAACAAATACAGTAATTGAAAGAAGGAAGAGATGGTTCCTCCAAATAGCCTCTGTTCTGCCTCACCTCCCATTACCAATATTTCTTTTTTAATTAATATTACACCTGCACTTCAGTGATATGCCACAAATTTCTCAAACCTCTCACTATCCCACACACATTTTTCCTCTCATTTCTTCCTTTCCTACTCTTGATGTACGAGTTACCTATCTGATAAAAACAACCATTATTTTAGTCCTCAGAGAAAGGTAGGAATTTATCAATTTTGTGTACAGTTTATATTTCTTCTCAGTAAGTTATAGTTAGATGTAGGTACTGTACAGCAAATGTCAAAAAGAGGGTCAAGATTTGTTGCATTCAATGGTGTGAAAAATAAAGCTGGCATTAATGGGTGTTTGTCAAAAGATCGACTAGTTAGGAAAGTAGTAAACATACTTGTAGGCCAGACATGGACATAGTAGACCATTCACAAAACATGCAGAAAGTTCAACAATTACAATATGAATTGTACTGAACATAAAACGTCTTGTATTCTGGTGCACATTATTACTAAAATCAGTCAAGAAATTGCAGATGCTTTCATCTTTGTAGTGACATGAAAATAACTTTCCATATACCTTTCAATATGATTCGATAGCTTTCTAAAAATACATCTTATAACGCATGGCTCTTATAAACAGGAAACTACCTTCAACTACATAATTGAGGAAAATGAGCATCACATTCTTGTCAGGTTAAAACTGTTGGGTATCTATACAAGTTCTAACACCACTTGGAAAGGATTCAATTCACATAGGTTCTCGTTTCCTTTCATATATCTATTCCTCAAATGTTGTATAGTACCAGACAGCATTCAAGTCCCGTTCAAATGTTTTTAGCACTTCTCTTGGGCATTCACTTCTTGAGTACGGGGGAATATGAGGCGACCACAGCTTTTAAGAAGAATGGTTTGCCTGGGTGATGGGAACAGATGCGTGGATAAGAGATCTGGCATAGTATTAATAAAGACATTTATACAATTGATGGAAGAATTGTTAGGACCAGAAGAGTTGGCACATACAGGGCACAATAAAAAATATCAATATACATGAAATTAACTCTGAATGATACACAAACTAACATAATTAACTAAATCAAGCTTGTATATTATTAATGATTGAGGTTTTTCATTTTACGTATGCATCGTTATTGTCCTGAATAATTGGATGATAATTATCTCTAACTTCTTTACACAGGCACCACCTGATCCAAGTGGTAAGTAGGCTGGCTTAAAAAGTACAGCACAACAACTGCTTATTATAAAAACCAATTAACAAAGTTCAAATAACATAATAAATTTGCCTTAGAGTATTTTGTATATATATATATATATATAATATGCCTTATACATAAAATTTTCAGACTTGAGAAATAGCGAGCAAGGTCCACGTCCCATGTTCCCTGTTGAAGAGTGAGATCAGTGACAAGAACAAAGTGTCTGCCTCCCAATAAGTCATCTTTTTTTCCTCTTACAAGGTATATTGTAAGGTTGGTCTGTAGACTTGTTTTGACAATGCAATAATCAAGTTCACCGGGAATAATTTGTAAAACCTAGTCATAGAAACTAAAAGTCTTGAGCAAAAAAAATTATATTGTGGACAGAAACTTCGTTAACAGATAAAAAAAAAAAAAGTAACCGGTACTCAAACCTATTCTGATGATATGTAGAAAATAATCACATCAACAGAGGATATGAGATGTTGAGCATACATGGAAAAGGGGCAGCTATCAAACAGGGAGGTACTACCGCCTGGGAAGATATTGGAAGCATAATTTGTCCTCCAATTGTAGACCCTGCTGCTACATGGCATCAAAATTTTTTTGACCAAGTCCCAGGTTGCTGACCTGACTTTAATTGCAGTTTCTCAATTGTTTCTCTTACTATTGACAACACAACATAAATATATCATTTTCCTCTTGATATATTTTGTATTTTTGTATTTATTTATGGCTCATTATTATTATTATTTATAATTTGTTTAAAATTTTTATTATTATTTTCTTTTATTATACCGTAATTGTTATTTATTTTATATACAAAATTTTTATTAATTTTATTACAGTACTACCCTGTATTATCATTACTATGATCATCATCATCATAGTAATTGTTATTATTTTATTATATTTTCGCCTCCCAGGCCTTAATGACCTGTGCCCAGGTGGGCTAATGCCCGTGGGGGAAAAAAAAAAAAAAAAACTAAAGTAGGTACTTTGTACTGGGGTATGTATACATATATAAAAACATCTCGACTACCTGCTGTGGGTGGAACAGAAAAAGAGTTTGGCTCGATATCGTTGACTATGAAGTATGAATGTGTAAGACAAAAATTAAATTATGATTGGTACTGATTTAGCCTCTTCATTATGACTACTGCCTGCCTTACCTGAGCTCAACACCAAAAAATCAATGTGACCGTAATAATGTCATATTGTACTGACACTTACATCATAATTATGATTTTCTCACCACTCTTCAACTCTGTGTTAATCTTGATAAAAGAACTACAGGCATGTGTCCGTTGCTCCAACCATTTCACGAGCAAGACTAATTAAGTAAATCATAAAGTTCTGGCTAAATATGCTAACCTAAGCACAGACTTTATCTCTCTGGCTAAACAACCCTAGAGGTCTTTCTACATGTCATGATGAAGCTACAGTAATTTTTTTTTTTTTTTTGTGGGGGGGGAGGGAGGGAGGGAGATGGGGTAAGTCCATGTGTTATATCCCTGTATGGCTGATCAATCTGGCCAACACATAAATACAGTAGAATACCATGTCTTTGTCCTCACACTATGAACAACTAACATTAACTAACACACTAGTAAACAGAGTCCTTGTTCTCATTTTCTTATAGTGACCAGACATGCAAGGCTGGCATGGTCACCACACTAGTAGTCAGGGTCAGGGGTCTAGGAGCGTGTCGCATCCTCCTATTACCACGCCGTGTTCTCATCCTCATGCCTTGTGGAGAACTGACATTGTAGACCCAAACAAACACATTAATACACACTGTCCTTGTTCTCTCCTGTGCTTTCATATCCTCTCGTTACTCGAGAATTCTTGTTCTCACGTGTTCTTTCGTATCTTCTTGTTATACGTGTCCTTGTTCTCGTGTTCTTTCACATCCTGTTGTTATTAGCGTCCTTGTTCTCTCATGTCCTTTCATATCCTCTTGTTATTAGTGTCCTTGTTCTCATGTTGTCATAACCTCATTGTTAATAGACAGTGTCCTTGTTCTAATGTTATGTCATACCTTCATTATTAGCAGACAGTGTCCTTGTTCTTCATGTTGTCATAACATCTTTGTTAGTAGACAGTGTCCTTGTTCTAATGTTGTGTCATATTCCCCTGTACCTGTGGCTGACCGTACATGTAAGCATTCATATGATGTTCTTCGTTCATTCTCTCCTGTTGAGGATAATGTATTTCTTCCATCTCTTGCTTTACAACTATTTCTTGACCCTGAACACCATGAAGTGCATCTGCATGTTGTTGTGCTTGCTGAAAATAAACACAGCGGTCATAATACATAACATGATATGTATTGAATGAGAACAAAGATATACTGTACTATCATATCTAGACAACAACTACAATGAAGTGTTTGTACAATATCACATATTAGAAACACATCAGATGGAAATAAAATTCTGACACATATGAACAGTAAACACAAGCTTCCTCAAATACATGAATTCATACAGTAGGTCAGAACAGCGACAGCAATGAAGACAAAAGATGCCATCATGTTCAGGAACAATGCATAAACCATTAAAATGTCAAGACAGTCCAGTACTAAATTCAGATTTGTTGTACTACTGGAACAGGGCGTACAAACTGCTTTAAAGTAGAGATATTTGAGAAAAATTAAAAAATATGCAACTGATTGTAATGAGTTTTCTTATTCTGTTTAAATCGGGTCTCTGAAAATAAAATTCCCCCAGGACTAATGGTAAGTGGAACTGAACATGAAAGTCGGTGAGCTGAATGACAATTATCTAATGAGGTGTGATGGTGGAGAAATAGGTGGCAGGAGACAGATGATATGAACAGCAAAGGATGTACTGTAGTGTAGTATGAGGTGGCATTAACTTTAGGAGGAATGGATATGGAGGTTTTATTGATGAAAACCAGAAATAAAGTGAAAGATCAAGATAAAGGAGAGTCTACAGTACAGTACTTGGTAGAGATGCACCAGAGAGTTAGTTTGTAGAATCCTGTTTCATGTCATGTTGAAAATGTGTATAAACAACAGTACTGCACAGTGGGTTGTTTTTGTTGTAGTTAGCATTGCCTTGGTTCATTATCTCATTGTGGCATAAGGCTTCATGCCTTCTTATCATATTCACATTTTCCTGCTCCCTAAACCACGTACAGTACTGTACAGTACTACTACATTATAAACTATGTACTACACTTTATACTTGATCCCTATGTACTGTACTACACCTCCATATCTTCACTACCTACCATCAGTAGCTGCACCATCAGATTTTCAGGAGTGGTGTCATCCCCCTGCATGTCAGAATGTTGTTGAGCATTCATGTCATATTCTTCCCTATATTGGTCCAATTCCCTTTGTGCTGAAGCTGCTGCTGCAACATATTGTTCAATATCTTCTTCTTCGTCCAACCCTTCCTCCAACTGACACAGCTGAATTTCTCTTCTTGCTTTAGCTGCCGCTCTACGATGTGAGTTCGTTTCTTTTCTTGAACTTGACTTTCGACGGTAGCGACGTAAAGCTGCTTCAACAGCACGGTGCATCTGTAATTCTTCATCGGTCATTTTCTGTCTCTGGACTTGGCGTTTTCTTCTTTGCGTTGCGGCCGCTTCTGCACGGTAAGCCTTCAGTTCTTCTTCACTCATGCTCTCCATGCGAAGACGACGACGCATACGTTGTGATTCGGCCACAGCGGCCCGATATGCTCTTCTCTGCTCATCGGTCATACTGTCTAGCTTACGTTGACGGTATTTCTTTTGTGCTACGGCTTCTTCTCTATGTTTTGCTCTTTTCTCCTCTTCGGTCATGCTTTCTAGCTGCCGACGTCGACATTCCCTTCGAGATGCAGCTGCTTTGGCGCGTCTCACTTGTTCCATTTCTGCAGCCATTGACTCGTAAATCTGAAGAAATAAAAGAAAAATTAAAGGTTTGAGATTACAAGTATTTGTTCAATTGCACAGTATTCTCAAGATACTAAAAAAGAGATCAAGTTTTCACAGACTGTGCAGATTAGTAGTGCCCAGTAGCCTGGGCATGACGGCACTAGAGGCTGGAAAAGTAATTTTTCATGATTTATTTGCCTGTTGGGTACAGGCAATTTACCTCTGCATTAAGCCTTAGTCAGTTGGTCAACTTGTCAACATTTCAAAGAAATTATCAAGCTGCTTGCTGTAGACATGATATGACAAGTTATGACCTCATGAAGACAAGTGTTACTGCCACTGACACCAAATTATAGGGGAAGATGGTGGAGAGTGGTAGTTAGGGTAGGTAATCACAGGTGCTGCCTCCACCTCCCTACACACCTTGCAGGTGTGAGGTAAGGTAACAGGAGTTATGACATTACATGACAAGGATTATTTACACGACAGTATTTGGACGGACATAATAAATTTGAACGTTTTAAGATGTGTCTTTAACTTCCCCATAAAAAAAAATCTGGGAACACAAATATTATCCAAAAATTAGTCAGGATATATATATATATATATATATATATATATATATATATATATATATATATATATATATATATATATATATATATATATATATATATATATATATATATATATATATATATATATATATACACACACACATGTATATAATTAAAAAATCCAGGCAGGTAAATTTCAAGTCACTTGCCCAAGACAAGGTATTGTTCCACATAATCTGCAAAGCCTTGGTTTTCAGCAGAAGAGATACAATCCTCGTCCTTTCTCACATATGCACCATTTATCACAGACAACCTTTCCCTTGGAAGGAAAGGTGGGTGGGCAATAATCTAAAAATGAAGGACTGATCCTGAAGCCCAATTTTATCGATAAGTTCAAAACTAAGATGGTTAATCAATTCTGTAAACCCAAGAAGGACTTACAGATCAACCTATATTGACTTGGGGGGTTACTGTCCAAGACCCGAACCCCTTCACCACAGGATGCCACTCTTAATATTTAATTTGGAAAACAACAGATTTTATTCAGCATAGAGAAACCCCTTGTCCCCAAAATGGTTTAGGCTCTCCTGGGAAGTTGCTCTGTAGTAAGAGAAATGCTTGGTGTGATGTTGATGATCAATAAGAGCGTACAGTACAGTTCAGAAGTGGATGGTGGGAGGGAAGGAGGAACACTATGTGGGAGACAGGAGCAAGTAAAATGGTGACGAGTAACTTTTGGAGAAGGAAGTACTGTACTGCTGATGGGTGATGCTAGCATGTTTAAAGTGACAGGCATTAACAAGGTTTGGGGTCTTAATGTGTATGCAGAATGTAATTTTTACAACAGTAAGAATGAAGGATTGACTACAAATGATAAGAAAATGTGTTAAATATTAACCTATTTTTAGCTACCCTACATTAACCCGTCTAGGAATAATGTCGCACTTAGCCACAGTATTTATTCTCCCTGAAATCAAATAATTTTTTCAGCCGAGAGAAACCCCGACCATTCAATGGGTTAAGAAGGAAAGACTGCACGACACAAAACTATGTAACTCACCCATTAAGGAGTGATGATGAGAAACACCTGGAGTGTACCACTTCATAACAAGTACTGTACGTAGACAATGACCAAATCACAAAACATTACACACAAGAACAGTCCAGGAAAAATGTATATGTACAACAAAACATTGAAAAACTAAATATTTAAGAATGTCTTCCCAAGTTTGAGAAGTTGAACATCATCATTTTGCTGAAGAGAATAAATAATGTTAACTTACATGACACATGCAAGATGCAAAGTCGTTATTTTCACTGGAAGAGAGGTGCTCCTCGATGGGTGGTGGCACTTCCCCATTAACACCTGGGATAGTTACGTCGTGTGGTTCTGGAAGAGGTTGTAAATATATAATTATCACCACCTGCTCAGTCTGGGATGTAGCTGGTAATGTAATCCCAGCTTCTTGTATTTCAGTTACTGTACTAATAAGAAAAAAAGCAAAGAAGATGGGTATTTGAATATACATAGGTGCAGTCAGGATCATAAATGAAGATAACAGAAATCCCATTTCATGACCGAGGGGTAAAATGACTGACCTACAAAACCCATACCACCAAAACACTTCTGGCAGAGCCTCACTATACCACACACCTTGATATTATTAAGGACAGGACAAACTATCCAGGCAGATGATGCATTATACTGCAAGCTTGAATCAGAGGTAAAGTTTCTATCCCATTTAACTCGGAGATTGTCTCAGGACCAGCAAGGCTTCAGATGAACGGTCAAAACATTCATTTTGACCCAGGTCATTTGACTGACCTTTGGCTTTGATAAGAAATTCAAACTCCTGACCTCTGTTTCTGTAGACTTAAAATCCCATCCAAGGGAGGAGGGAGGGAGGGCACTTACTTCCTTCATAGATATATTTCACTTTGAATCACTTTATACAACAAGTGATCTTCATAATACTACAGTACAGTTAGGAACAGGAGGGAGAAGATTATGTATCAACAAAGTCTACTAAAACATGCAGTGCTGTACTGTACCGCCAAGAAGGAAGTACAGTACTCACCTCTATACCTCCTAAAGCCACTCAGCCAGGTTTATATATTTATTCAGTTATTTAAATTTGTATTTTTTTATACCAGTTATGATTTATATAGCTAATTATTGACGAATAACCCTGATCTATGGCCGGGCACATCCACATCCTTCACATAAGCTAAACACCCTTATAAAAATACATTCAGAAACACAACCTAAAAGATTTCACATAATAAAGCAAATGGTCTTCCTTCTGGGACAATGGAGGGAAGACGGAGTCCTGAACAAGCAAGAGACATCATAATTATCAACTAGCATGCACCTGTCATTCTGTGTAAGTCAGCCATAATAATTTTAGTAAGTGTTAATTCCCTTTTATTTACAGCAAACTTAATTTTGGGCTCATGGGAGAAGAGAATTTCCAAGCCCCCTTAATTCTAAGTACATGGGAGGAGGGAATTTCCAAGCCCTATAATTCTGAGCTCAGTCATAGAATGGGATTTCAGGATCAGTGTTTCATCGACGGTCACAGCTGCCCTTCACCAGGCAGCTTAAGTACGGTACATGAAGCCAGCTAAAAATGGGACGAGGCATGAAATGAGGAGCAAAGAACCAAAGTAGGAACAAGCGCCGGTAAGCCTGAAAACAACATGTATGACGTCTTTCACTACTATTAATTAAACCTGCACAAACAATGCTACAACCTGCTACTACAATCACTTCAATATCTTCACTGGTTATGATAATTTGAAGGTTTGTAACCGTTAACTGCATTTTCCTCTGTTTTTTATTTACGGTGTTTGTCCTACTTCGGTTCTGTGTGCTTCAAAAGTTACCTCTCTTACTGTGCCTTTGTTCACCCTATTTTTACACAATTTACAGCTGGGTATAAACTTCCCAATGCCATACAGTCCATCAGTGTCCTCGTCTAACAGCTTATATTACAAAGCACTTCTCTGTAGTATAGGAAGACTTGATATTACCCCTCCCACTCATCCCAATTAAATTCATACAATAAATTCTATTTCATGTTACTTGTATCCTTAGCAGACCAACACAGACCAGTGGATGATCAAGAAAAAATTTATGGTACAGTGGAAGTTTTGTTCACCAGTATGAGCACAATATACTCAAATGAAAGGTTTCTCTTATTTACTTTCAAGAAATGCCTTTTATACAAACATAAAATATAAAGCTTTGTGAAATACATCAGGTACTGTACAGTCACCCACAAAAGTCCTGTCGCCTCTCCTCCTGAACCACGAATCCCGAAAATCAAATTCATGAATCCAAAGCCTCTATGAAGAGAATAATGCATCAGTGTCTACTGCTTTGGGTTCATGAGTCCTAATCTTTGGGTTTGTGGTTCAGGAGGAGAAGTGATAGGACGTATGTGAGTGAAAGTAACTGAGATATTGTATAAAGAACATTTTCTCTAAATTTGCATAACACTGTACAGTAAAACATACATTATACAGATTTTCATCACCACCCAAGTCAATAGTAAAAGTGGGTCCCATAGGCTTGACGGCCCGTTAGGGACAGTGCGGATGCAGCATGCTGTATAATAAGCCCTGGGTACACAAGGAGGCAGCATGGCCGGTGCTACACTCAACCGCATTCACTTCCCCAAGTTACAAACTTAGGTACCCATTTACAGCTGGATAAACTGGGAGCGCCCGGGAATCAAACTACTGACCACTGGAACAGGAGGCGAGTGCTGTATCCACTCGACCGCTGCACACCTTTCAGGCAATAGTAAGTAGCCCAAAAAAATAGTAACAATAAAATAGATTTAATATTTCCAACAGCAATACATACAGTTGAGAATAATAAAGTAATGAGTAGGAAATCCTGTTTTATGACCAATGGCACAAGCCTGAGACCTGTGAAATGTAATATAAATAAAAACTTCACAGGCAGAGTCTGTCCTTGCCTGTCAGTGCAATGCTTGATAGTGGGGTAGATTATCCTAATGGACAATGTATTCCTGCAATTAATGAATGTAGTATTGTAACTTTCCTTTTGATTTGAACGAGTAGATAAAACAAAATATTGGGGTTTGAGAGGCTTCCAACCAAAGAAAAATCATCCTCCCAAAAAAGGAGTTTGAAAACCTTGAGTGGGACAGGAAGACTGTACACAATGGTGCCATCTTCTGGAGTCTGACCAAAAAATTTCTGAATACTGTTTGATCACTTTCACTAAACCCAGAGATCACATTCCAGACTTAAACCATCCCTCAATTGTAGCAACAGTAACCGAGATGCAATATCCTGATCCAAATAAGGCTACACAATTTCATTCCATTTATGAGTACTATTCTTACAATATCTTCTCTCTCTCATGCAGAACAGATCTCAAGAAATTACGGTAATCCTTATAAATTCAATCTTAGACCATTAGCTCCACACTGTCTGAAATGAACATCAAAAGGTCAACCCTCTGAAGAGATTTGAATAGTCTTACAAAAGTCTGAACTCAAGAAAACTATCATGAGTTTATCCTGGGAAGAGAGGCAGCAGCAGATTCCTTATCCTGTCGTTCATCATGTAACAAGCTCACCACAAACCACGCACATTAAGAAAGAAATAAAGATATTCTATGGGTAAAAATCGAGGCTGGTAAAAAATCTGACCCTTTCTCAAAAATCTCATAAATTACTTGTACGAATGACAAGTTGCTGAAGTACACTTGAAATATAACACTTGTTGTAAAAAGAGATGTTAGTATCTGTACAAGTAACAACCCCAGAGTGATCAAGAAGAATGTAACAACCAACATACAGAACAGCACAACACTTCTCAGGCTATCTATCTATTCACCGTGTAGCCAAACGAGTCGTAAAACTATCGGCAATTATTGAGTGTGAAGAGCTGGCTTAATGTAGGATCATCTAATGTAAATCCTGACCATTATACTGCACTGGACTGGCTCTATTCTACCCATCAGGTGCATGATACCAACAGCTAGCTAACACCATATTTTGGACATACTGGTTTCAAGGAGTTATGACATAAATAATCAGACTTTATGAGAAGAATGCATGGTACTGTACAGCCATCTGGTCTGGCATTCTTTTGATAACACCAAATAATGACAGTGATAAAATCCTATATTTGCTATCCACAAGTTTCATTTCCCAAACCACAGGAAGCAAATAAAATCTTCCCTATAAATCAGATTTTCTATAAATGATTTTAAAATACAGTACTGTACTAATAAATTAAGGTATTGTATTCCTGTAATGACTAGTCAGATCATTAAAAGTGTAATTCTTCTCTCAGAGGGGTAACAGAGCCTACATGCCAAACTTACAATCATTTATTTCACATCAGGAGAGTCAACTACAGTACTAGATTTGAAGGAATTTCAACAAGATCCATTATGCAATGGGAATATATGTCAGTCCTATCTTCAAGTACTGTATATGCAAAGAAAATTGTGCAGTATATGAAAGCTTCACTAATATAAAACAGCATTATGAAGTTGGGGAGTCCAGGCGGTGAACGTAAACAAACTCATCTCTAGAAAATCAAACAACAAACATAAAAATAATGAAAGCCAGAACAGTGCAATAACAATCAACACACAAAAAATGTGAGAAAAACACATTTTACCATTCTCGTTTTGGCAACACAACACATCAGCTGTAACACCAAGTCAAAAAACACAGCAAACACTTCAAAACACCAGAGATAAAAAAATCTTGTGAATATCATGTCAAACACAACCCATTCACTGTGACCTTTAGTGAGCACAGGGACCCAGTTTATCATAAGAAAACCCTACAACCACCAACAAAGCTTTGCACAAGATATGACTGAGTACCAACACCGCATACCAGTAACTAAATTACAGTACTGGTTTGAAAGCATCGTAAGGGTTGGTATAGTCAGATCTAAAGGGAAAACCAAGACCAGTTCCTTGATACTACAGGGTTCAATACACCCTAGTATGTAATCACTGTGGTAAAGTCTTCACTACGAGTCCCTAAATCTAATTTCTTAAAATAAAGTATGCAAAAAATCTCGCACAGACGGCATATTTTATAAACTGTACAGGACTTTAAATCTTGCACAAAAGAAGCTCATGTATTGCCTTAACAGTTGGTGAGAGCATTAATAGTACGCACTCCACACAGGGGACGTGGCAGAGCTTCTTTTCAGTGCTGACTTCCTCCATTAACACAAACCACCAGGCTGTGTGGAAATCACCAAGAACTTTACCACCAGGAATGTTTTGTTATTCCACATTACTGTACTTGGCTAAAATCAGCAAACCTCTAAAGTTATATGTAAAGGAAAGCATAATTTATACTTTCACAATGCTGGAAGACAGTATGAACCAATGGGTCACATAACTGATGTAAATAACCTTCATGTTGGTTAGTCAAACACTAAGTGTAAGCAAAAGGTGCATGGCAAAAGCCAGAACTGATACAATAAAGTATCAGAAAATAAAAATGTCTCAAAATGCATTAAATCTTCTATGCCTGTCTGTTGGACCAGCTGTAAGGTCTTCACAGTCTGGCTAGTGGTAGAGAATGGAAAGGTGAGGTACAAACTCCCAGGGGGTGACTGGGTGATACAGTATGTGTTCTCAACAGTCTTGACTCCAACCTGGATTCCCCATGGCTCTATGAGACATATACTGGATTCCTGTGGACCCACTCGAAGTTTGTAAGGGTTCACCGGGTGGGTAAGCTGGGTAAGCTGAAGTGTATTCTTCAGTTGCAGTAATAAAGTGTCCATCTGGGTAATGTTCCCCTGCCATCAAGCTTTGCATGCCTCCAGGGCAATGGCAGGCTCTGTCTAGGGGTGATAGGTCGACCATCTTGTGCAGGTCGCTCATGAGGCTCTGCAAGCCACAAAAAATTTTAATTAGTTGCATTATTAATTTTCAACTGCACAATGCTCATACAAATAATGATTCCAACACAACTTTCTATTCAAGTGCATTTCTGAGCTATTTACAACGTAAATGAAAGGTAGACGAAATACTTACCCTCTTTTATTTCTACAAAAGATAAAAAGCTCGTTACAGGAGGGTCTTCATCTGTCAGTGGATCTTCATCAGCCAGTTGGTCTACTTCTCCAGAATTTGTATATCCATCTTCTACTGCAATGCAAGGTGTTTCAGATTCATCTTCTGTTTTTATTCTAATCTTATGCTTTTCATCTTGTACATGCATGAGGCGTTTTTGATCATTTTTCTGAGATTTATCCTCCTTATTGTTAAAACACAAGTTGTGATATGGACACATGGCATAAAATGCCTGAAAGTAAGAAAAAATATTTAAATCCTACATGTAGCCTCTTTGAACATTATTGGACGATGGGTTAAGGGATTTTGTCAGGAGTCTAAAGCTGGCATGATACTGGTACTGTATTGTAATGTGTGTGTGCATGTGTGTGTGTGTATAGGAATTAAGGATGTATCAATGGGCTTAAAAATCAGTTTCATGCCAACTTTGAACCTCTGAACTTAAAAGTGAACAAGTGGACACAGCACAAAGTAATCTAAACTTTCTTTTTTATAAAAGGAGGCATTGTGGCCAGCAGTGCACTTAATCATGTCTATTTCCCCAAACTCTAAAATTATGTACCCATTCATAGTTGGGTGAACTGTGAGTACTCCAGGAGACAACCAGAGATGAGCACTGTCTCCTCTCAGCTGCTGCACATGTCCCCTGAACTGGTACAAAAATTCAGTTGTGTTAAGGAGATACATTACTGTACTGTATAGTATACTGCACTATATGTCCCATGCACATCTGATTTTTTTATTATACACATCTAAGAAGGCATTATACTGATTTAGGGCCCAAGAACACACTATGCAGTAGATGTCTTCTTTACACACATTCACAGCCAACAACATCAACCCATGACTCTGAACTCCTGATTCCACCCCTTAAGACAACAGACCATTAACAAGACAATATATACAATATGTGTATGTGTTTTTAATATTAAATGACAGCAACTGATTCACAGATATCTATATGTTTCAAATAAATACCTTTTATGTAAAAAATTGTACACGTGTAATACTGTACCTACCTGTTTTGCCATTCTCTTCAGTCGTCGCTGTTTCTTGGTATAGCGGGGAGTGTGTCTCTGATACTTCCACCTCAGTCTCGGCATGTTTGAGGTGATCTGTACTCTAAGATTTTGAAGATCTGAATAGGAAAAACTTGATGAAGGAAATGTGAAAATTTTAATAATGACAATAATACACTGCACTTACTATGAGGTAAATATTAATACACCGCATGTCTTAATTTATGGCCTACACTTCACAAGGCAACTCATGAATTTTAGCCACACCAACTCCCAGGTTTGACTTACTTACTGTTCACTGCATCATATACTGGGACCAATTCATGAATTTGTTGCACTTCCCCTTCACAATAAAGTCCCAAAAGGGACGTTTAGATACAACAGTCTACCATTCACAGTAGGAAGCAACAGGTTGTGAATGCCATGTCAGCAGAAATGCAAATTGGCCTCTGTCGAGCTCAGGCACGGTGAGGTTATCTGCCATGAAACAGTGTAGCACCAGCCTAGACTTGACCCTGTCCAGATGTCTCCCACTTAACTGACTCTCACCCCACAATTAGGACATAGGCAGAAGAGCTATGCCACACTCACAACAACTGCCTCCCAATTTCAAACTGGCTTCAGAATTCATGAGTCACCTGGTCAAAGGCACTGGCCATAAAGAGAAAACTGATCCTGAAATCCCTTTTCTGGCAAAGTCAAAAGCCAGTGAGCTTTAAGTAGTGCACAGACTCATGACTAGGAAATTCAAATCGGTCCTTAGACAATCCCCCAATCAAATGTCAGGGATAGTCACTGCCTGCCTCCCTGTCACCTTCAACCCAAAATTTTAAGGGAAAATAAAGACTGAGCATTAATAACAATATACCATAAAGCTTGGTGGCAGTTAAGACTTTTTTTTTCACAGTCAAAACAAGGTACTACTTTACGCATGATATGTTGGCTTAACCCTAACCTTCCCAACAGAACTCACATGCTGGTACAGTAGTTAGGGTAGGTTAGAGTAGTGGTATTTACCTTGTCTTGGAGATTGAGAAAACTAAAATACATAAGATGATCAATTAAGCAATACAAAACCTTATAGCCGTTGTGCGAAACAGCTTCACCGTGCATGAAAATTATGCTAAAATGGTTCCACAGCCATCTTGACAAATGACAGTTTTGGTCTAAATAATACATTACACATTAAATATATGAGCTACATTTCATAGTTATTACAATAAAAGCAAAAGTTTGTAATTTTTGCAGAAACATAAGTTGTATTTTATGGTTCAACTGGAATATTATCCCAACTTAGCGACACACACACACACACACCAAGGTTCCCTCTAATTTCTTACATCACAATGCAGAACGAATTTTATTATTTGCACCAATATCAAGACAATACTGTACTGTATGTGGACATGCATCACCACAAGATACAAAATACCTTTATAATATACTGTACAGTCTATGATAATATTACTTGTTTTAAAGTTACTAAAGGAATACAAGAAGTAGAGAGAATAATAATACAGGACAAATAGCAAGATGCATTACTTAAGACTTTATCTGTCACTGATGATATGTGTTGCCAGAATAATTAAATGCATGAAACTTGATTGACTCTTGTGCAGCCCCAGATTAAATATATAATGGAAATACAAAAAATATGGATTTTTTTCTACCTGAAAATGATCCACACAGAAGATGGGTCTTGGGTTTTTAATATGCATAAGTAAGAGTTAAAATTTATGAAACTTATGGTACCAAGTAGGTTTCATTGTTCAGTAAAGCACTTCCAAAAATGACTTATTTAAATAAAGGTTTTAAGTAACTGAGGTTCTATGATAATGATACTCATGTCTAACCAACCATACATCAATATGACCAACACCTAAGATAAATTAACACAGTTGTGGTCAATAAGGCCCAAAAAACACCACAGACTCCCTCCACCCGCCTTATTAACATAGTGTAAAGCTGTCTTATGGAGACCGATGAAGACAAATAAATCTAAAATATAAAGAACAAGAAGAAAAAACATCTATATTTACACTACCCTGTTATACACAAGTCTTTCAGTTGTCTAGTGAAGATGATAATAAACACTGTATAATAAAATCCACGGGTTATATCTGGTTTTAAATGGTGTGGCGAGAGGGAGGCAGAGGTCGGCGTCCAGCCCCAGCAGATATGTAAACAAACAGCAGCACAGCAGTAGTGAAGCTGTACACTCCAGCTGTCTCACACCACTCCTGTTAACAGCTGCCATCTATAACTAGGGCAGCTTTTCTTTATTTTTATTTATTAATTTATCTTATTTTATATGGTTTGTTAGGGGAAGGTTGCCAGAGTTTGTTTAATTCCTCCCATTTTCCCTGATGGGTTTGTCCTTGGTGGGTCCTGAGGTGAGTGTATGACCCACCTGGACGCCTATTTTACCTGTTTATTGCTACGGCTCTTCTATCTTAATACAGTACCTACATTATTTTTTTATTTGATCCACCTGATCTTTATTCATTAACTAGAAATACCAAGAACTGGGGAAACGGTGATGGAGTGTTTAAGTGCCCGTAAATAACTTGACGTTTTCTCATAAAGGTTTTCTAGTTCTCTTTCACTAACTGGCTGCCGGACTGTAAATTGATTGAGGACGGCCAAAGGAGGGCCCCCTAACAGGTGCCTCCATTCACACACCTCCCTCATCTTTTGTGTTTCTGTTAACCTACCACTACCAGTAAAGATGTAAACAAGAAATATTGATATTTTTTATTTTTGTACACCTAACTATACAGATATAACATTGTTGTAGGGCTATGGTGGTGAGTCCTTCAGGTGGGGAGGCCTGGGGTGGAGACTTTTTCCAAGTGATTCAAGAAAGTTATATTTTTAAGAATGGTAATTATATTTTTCCTGTACTTCACGATTATTATGTTAACGCTTGTGCAGTGTAAATAAGGTAAATCATAACTAATGAAATATAAAAAAGCGATTAAAACCGTATTTTATGATGTATAAAATATTAATTTGTGAGTTCCGATTCTGTAAGCGATTCCCATTTTTCTGAATTGTCATATATCCGTATTATACAAAGTCAATAATGAAGTAAAGCAAAAATTTTTGCTTAACTAGAATTACAAAAATATAATCAATGTTTACTGGTTTTAAATATCATGGTGAAAGTTATTTAGGTTTGCATATAAGAAAATAAATTCAGTAGATAAAAATGCATTTATACAACACTAAAATTATACAAACAGTTGCAAGTGCACACCTGTACGCAACATTCTGTCTGTGTTTAATTATGGAAGAAACTTTTTGTAACCTCTAATATTTATTAATTTACTTAGATTATTTACAGTGTAGGGATCATTTAAAAGTTCGTAGAGATTTTCACATTCTTAAGTTTATTTTGGGATGAGGGAGTGAGGGAGGGAGTGCCAACCCAGTGCCAGGTTGGTTGCTGGCACTGGGTGTGTTGTGCTCGATACATGATTATTCATTTGTGAATCTTAAATTAATTGTAAGTTCAAGTACTTTACAATACGTACATGCATTCTGGTGTGCAAGACAGAATATAAATATTATTGATCACTCGTTTACAGCCAAATCAAGTGAGAATAATGTAAAAATTAATGTAAAATTTTGGAGTTTAGTTCAGAATTTACCAAGGTGAAGGTTAATGATTGGGTCACTACTAGTTTTTGGTTATATTTTGATGAAAGCTTTATTGATATATACGTGTGTTAATGCTCTGTGTGTACAGGTGTTGAGGGAGTGAAGAAAATGAGGGTAAAGTTGAGAAAACCTTTGAAATCTTTATGTGAAGTGATAACATTGTTTACAAAATCACTGGAGGAAGATGTGATGCTAAACCATTAATTACGAGTCGGATTATGACTAATGTTATTATGTGAACCTTCAAGTAAGCCAATACTTTTAGGTTAGTATCAGTTAATTAGGCTTTTTGATTCATGTCTTAATTCATAACGGTAGAGAACTGTGGTGATTTAAGCTATTTGCATGAATAAATATCTATCTTATTTATCATATCCTGAAAGGGGTTTTGGCATAAAATAAAATTGGTCTGCTTACAATGGACAGATGAACATAACCAAAAAAAAAAAGTTAAAGCATTAGATTTGGTTGGTTTGTATTATAGGCCATGATGAATAATTTACATCAGAATCTCTTGAACTCTAAACCACGTAACTCATGACCAACAAACACCCACTACTATTATTTTTGTCTTCTAATGATTCACGGTAGAATCAACAAAGATTCCCCCCCAAAAAATTCTATACTGTACCAAAATGGCATCAGGAGTTTTATAATTATACAGTATAGTATTTATATTCAGAACATTATAAAATATTTGGATATTTTCATTTACAGTATCTTCATAACAATGGGGAATTACAAGTCTAGACCCAAATCTTGCTGTTCTCAAGAACTTCTGAAGAAGATCTTAGAAAATTATGCTATTTTAGAAGAGAAGCTGCATGAAGACCTGCACGTGGGACATGTTTATGACTTCACAGACTTAGAGAAAATCATATGGTAAGTATGAGTCCGTATTTTATAGTGATTTTAGACCACGAGGATAATTTTGTTTTTAATTTCTCATTACCTGAACAACCTTGTTTTACTGTACCAACCCAAAGAATGTTATGGCTGTTAGGAAATTTGACGGTTTTTGACCCCTCAAGATCACATTATAGCAGAGCTCATTTATATAACGCCTTCACTATGGGGATGTCACTTTTATATTTTATTTGGATAATGACAGACAATTTTATTCAGCTCAGAGGGGACCCCACACACAAGGGGTTAATAGACTATCTCCACTAACCCTTTCACTCCTAGGATACCACTTTTGATATTTTATTTGGCAAACGACAACAGAGGGGAACAAACACAAGAGGTTAAATGCTATATTCATTCTTGAGGCAGGGTCATTGTGTATGGACCATTGTAAATGCTGAATAATCGGCTACTTTTCTAACTGAACCATGGTAGTAAAGGAAACTCCAAATCACCTTCCCCGGCTGTTTCAAAAGTCCAGTAAACCAATCAATAGGTAATGTGGGATTGATCCTGAACTAATTCCCGTGACACAAGCACTTCAGTCATGCATTTGGAAAGCAGATAATATACTGTACCGCACATTTTACTTGTCTCTGGCTTACTGACAATACTTGTTGCCTACACTGTCAGGCAAACATTGTGTATATTCCAAGGACAAGTAAAATTTTCTCCATTGTGTTTCATGTACAGGCAGTGTGGGGTTTTATAAAACCTTACTTTGCTTACAAACAAGGAAACCAGCACTAATTCAGACTATACTGTATAGGCATAAGTATGTCTTGAATTATCAAATTACTCAAATTCAAAGAATAGAATTTACACCTGGCTTTCAGAGAATCAACATATAAAAGTTGGTGTTAACAAAACTGGCTAAGCATGGTGGGCAGCCAGGGCAGGGATGGGTAGTGAGGAGTAATGGGTAAGGCAGGGAGGAGTGGTGGTGGGCAGAACAGGAGGTGGGCTGGGTTGAGGATGGACTAGGTTGGAGGTGAGGGATAAGGACTAGTGACCAATGCAGGAGATTAGTACTGTATTAAGGGTTAGGATAGGAATGGCAGGAACTGGGGAATGAGGAGAGGTCAGCAATACCTATATGGGGTATTTCAGACCGAAAGGTGAATGGTGTACACTGTATCCTCCTCTGGATTTAACTATGCAGTTTATACTGTTTGAACATTATTAAATATGTTCAAATGTGGTAATTAACCGGTGGTCTAAACACAAAGTGCACATGTCAACCATGAGGCATGAACAGGCCCTGAACCAATCACAATCAGGTAGGTTCCAGATTATCAAAAACTTGTATGATGACTATTCCTTATACTATAACTGAGGGTGTGTATGACTGCCCCTAACTGATTAACTTTACTCCCTGTGTTCCTATCCTGTAGGTTTTGACTGATATATTACATGAGTTGCTCTTTTCTCGGCTCAAGCATAAAATGGGATTTCAGTATCAATCCTCCATAAAAGTTGCCATGGCATTGACTATCATGTAGTTCAGATACATTCAGGAGCCAGTGCATACCCAGTACGTACAGTACTTGCCAACAGTATGTAACAAAGATGTGACCAACCGCCCAAGCGGCTAATGAGCCAATTAGTGGCGAAGAGGATAAAAGTAAAAGTAACACTAGCCCTTATCATAGCCTCACTTTTCCTAATCATACGAATCAAGTACTTGTTAACCCCCCCATGGCACCATGTGCTAATCTATAGAGCTCTTCAACTTTCTTTTCTATAGTCATTACGTTCCTCGTCCTGTTCACTTTCTTCCCACCTTTATCACTAACATTCAATACATGCTTATGGGCCATAGTTAAAGGCAAAATCAATGTTATTACTGTAGAAAATATGTAATAAAGATCTAGTATACGGAACAGTAAAATATATTGTTCTTCTACTTACTCTATTCAGCCGGGGTTTGGCACTGGAGTTAATTAAAGATGGGTCACTTGACTCTATATGCTCAGGTAACCATCCATCTGATGCTGGGGGACCCCTTTGTTTAGGTTAATGTATTAGTTATGAAGGGAAATGGAAAGAGATATCTTTCAAGTTAAATTTATTCAGCAGAGATGTGGTATGAAGTCATATGTGTTCATCCTATTTCTAACTGGAGATACTGTGTGGGGGGGGGGGGACTCACCACACACCCATACGACTACAGAAAAAAGCATTAAATACACATTACCACGCCTCAGTACATCGCAGGCCCGTCCAGAAACCTCCACACTACTGTATATCACACCCAATGCTAAACTGCTTGTATTTCCAACACTGCTCACCAGCTGCCGAGAACACATTCTGAGTGTCCAATCAGAGCCCGTTTTTTTCCAGATTCTTCTGGTCTTTTTCTCTTATTGGATAGTTCACAATATGGGCATAGTCACGTTAGTTGCTGGGCGGAGCTATCCTCATGAAACCTGAAACAGGCCTACATCTGTTTTTCCTTGAGAGGTTGACAAATTGGGTCATCTGGTCTGAAGGATGCTATAAACCTTCTGGTCAGTTTTTCCTAATGGTTGCCTACGTAGGCGTATGGGTGTAGGCATGTGTGGGTGTGGGTGTGGGTGTGTGTGGACGTTCCTGTTTATTACAACGGAGCAACAAAATATGTCTGCACAGTACGAGATCACAACGTTGAGAGAGCGTGGCGGGAGGCTGGACGTTGTGCGGATGAACACATTTGAACACGAAGGGAAAATGACGCTGCGCTAAACTGTAGATACTTGAAATTCAATGTCATGGTTTGTGAAATGGTGTACAGTACTGTACCGAGTAAAAACAATGGATGCCTGAAATCCGTGGTTGGTGAGGGACTATTGTACTATTGTACTGTACTATAAGGGTGTTCCTTACTGTACAGTACACACCTTCCAAAAACAATATCTTACAACCTTGAACACCTGACTCCTTATGTATTAATAACTATCTGTTATGAAAAACAAAATGTATGATCTTGTTTATAATTTATATTTTTTATAGAGTTTTAGTCAGGATTTTTTTGTAGTAATTATTGTTTGTCAAGGTCCTAGTTGTTGTTGTGTCATGACATAAACATGTAAATTGAATATACTGTATTTATTTTGTCAGCAATGGAACATCAGACCAGTTGGTAAATCGTCTGGGTTCTGAAACTCTTAGTGAAAAATCAGACAATGGTGTGACTCTAATGCAGCTCTGCTGCTTATCCTCTGTAAGTTGGAAAAACGATGAAATTAAAGAGAAGAAGGAAGATAATGGAGCAGATGTTGGGTCCCAGGCACCTTGTTTCCTTCAACTCGTGAAACCTTCTCGTGAGAAAGCTAATCGGAAAGATGGAAGTCAAGAGACCAGTCAGGACAATAAAGGTGAACCAGATGTTGGTAAACACTTGGCAAAAATTCAGACAAACAAAGAGATAAAAGATCAGATCCGCCTCTTGTTACAGAAGGGAGCAGATCCTGCTATTATCAGTAAAAATGGGTTCTCAGCTCTCCACCTGGCATCTTATAAGGTTAACAAATTCGTGTGGTTACCTTATCTACCTGCTTGGAGTGACCTCACTATAATATACTTAATCTACTCAGGGATGTGTGAGTGGTGTGTATAATATAACTGTAGCATTTAGAGTATCTGATTTTGTTTTATTTACATGGACACTAATTTAAGAGATTTTTGTGATATAATTAACTAGACAACAATAGTATTACATGTACTTCATTCTTATAAATAAGACTTGTGAGTGATGAGAGTTAAACAGTCTTTCTGTTATTTTCATGAACAGTAGCAGTATTCACATACTGTACTGTAATTATGTATATCACAAAATTCTACATCTTTTGTAGATTAAGTTTTTTGATGTTTTCAGAACCTTAAAATATATACAGTACTGTACTGTACTAATTGTGAATGTGATAGACACAGTTTGAGACAATGGTTGAGACCATCCCTACTGTACACTATTTAGCACAGTGAAAGCAGAAGGGGGTCTTATAGGCCTGAGAGTCTGATAGGGACAAAGTGTATACAATACACTGTATTAAGCCTTTGGTGCACAACAAGTGTGGTTGGCACAGCCTTCACTTTCCCTTTTCTAAAATTAGATACCATCTACAGTTAGGTGGACCAGGAGAGCCCTGGACACAAACCTACAATCCTCATGTGCTCGGAGGAGGCCGCTGTATCACTCAGCTGCTGCACTTATTGTGACAGCACCGAGTGTGAGCTGTTTCAAGACCAGACTTGACCAACACTAGAGCAGGTTCAGATACATTCAGGAGCCAGTACTTGCCAACAATGCATAAACAGAGATGTGACCGGCCACCCAAGTGGCTAATGAACTGATCAATGGCGAAGATGATAAAAGTAAAAAGTAAACGTAATTATCCATTAAATGGAAGAAATGTATAAGGTATAATCTCAAAGCTGTGAAGAAAATGCAAATGTTGTTATTCATTAACAAATACAATAGCTGTGTCAAGATATACCGTGTGAAGTATTTGTTGTGAAGAACATTACCGTACTAAACTGATTTAAATGGCTGACACAACATACCAGTTGGTTGGTATCAGTCTGTAATCGTCCACCATGTACAGTAACTGGGAAAGAAATTAAACTTTCTACTGTAATTGTGTCTATATTTTTCCAATTACACCTGTAATATACTGTATCCAGGTCTTGACACCTCTTTTTGTTTCTTGGAGGTCTTGGTGTCTTTAGCTCATATGTCTTGGTCTCGGTCATCTTTGGTTTTGATTTCTACTCAAGACCTTTTGAGACTACAAATTTATTGAATAATTTTCAGGTGTGTTGGGAGGGAGTAAGTGAGATTAGATGAACAGGTTCAAATTGTATTATTGGAGAGAGTATCAATTACTAAAGTGGTGAAAGACATGAAAGAAGTGTAGTTACTGTACAGTACTGTACTGTACAGGCACACCTCTTACAGTGCTCTAGATGTGATCCTGGAAAACGGATTGCTATAGGAAACAGGTGTGTAAGAGGTCATTAGAACTAGGTCATTAATGTCATCATCATCATATCAATGTCTCATCATCATCATCAATACCAATGTCATTATCATCAACAATATCAATGTCATCATCATTTTACAGCCAATTTCCACACTTGTCTTCAAACTTATAAATAAAATGAACGATTTTTAATGGTTGTGGATATTAAAAAATACCAAATATTTTATACATATGCTCATCAGTTCATTCAGTTGGAGCTTGTGTGAGACTGTCCATTGTCCACTTTGCCATCACTCCTAACACGATCATATTTTCCACTGTGAAATACAACCAGCTCTCCATCTACCATGACATAATCCTTGAACAAGTTGATTTAGTTGCTGGGAATGAAGTGGTGGGCTGGACAAATTTTGGGACCTAGAATATAACTTGTGCTGTATTTCTTTCCCGTCAGCACCTTCAATATCAGTCCTTAATATTTACTGTAACCAGTATATATATATAGTATGGATTTAGAGTATAAAATTAGTTATCTCATATACAGTATACTGTACAGTATACACCTGTACTGTACTATACAATATATAAGTGTGTGACATGACTGACTGTGCATGTGTTTGTGGGGTTTTTTATAATGTATAATCCAGTTTTTATTGTTTGTGTTATGGACTAAACTGTTGATTATATTAGATATTTTTCAATACATAAGTTATTCAGTTGATTATATTAGATATTTTTCAACACGTGCATTTTACAATTAAAGTTTCATTGGTACAGCTCTGTATATAATAAATAGCATTAATATTTTCCTGCCCCTGAATATTTTATATAACACTTACAGGGTGACATTGACTTAGTGCGACTCTTCCTGGAGAAATGCAACCATCTGGACCACACAGGTGCAGGGAGTGTCACTGCTCTTCATATATCCTGTCTTGCCGGTCATCTACAAGTTACTCAAGCATTGGCTCAACGTGGTGCTAATATTGAAGCCCGGGATGCCGTGTCTTTCTCCCCGTTGCATATAGCCTGCTTGTTTGGAAATGAATCTGTGAGGCATCTTCCATTTTTTCTTTGAATTGTAGTAGCATATTCTTTACCCAGTGAAAAGAAATCAAAGTATGTACAGTAACTCTAAAGTAGTGCACAGTACAGTAATAATAATAATTTATATTCAGTAAATTTGACCAAGGACAGCTGACAAAGCCACGAGAGGCTTGTTTCCGGTAGAGTCCTTATGCCAGCAGCATCTGGTCACCCATCTAAGTATTGCTAACCAGACCCAACGATGCTTAACTTCGCTGATCGGACAAGAAGCGGTCTTTCCAACGTGGTACTACTGACGTGCTACCATTAACAAGACTCAGCCCAGCACAGTAAGAGAGGAGTCAGGATGCTGTGGTAGAGAGATAGGTTATTACTTACCTTGGCATCTTATGTGAGGTATTTTTTCCTTTCACAGGTCGTTGAATATTTGCTGTCTCGTGGGGTAGATGTTAATATTGCGGGATCTGTTGGTGACCGACCGCTACATCTGGCTGCTACGAGGGGGTATTATAAGATTGTACAAATGCTTCTAAGAAAAGGAGCAAGAGGTTAGTATGAATAAAGCATTATGATGTAGGAATTAGTCTACTGTACAGTATTACAAACATAACTACAGTACAGGGAGTATCTGTATTTGTCACAGGGGAATATTCAATTATACTACATACTATACTGCACATATTTTTTAACTTAACATACTGTAGCTATTTACAAATACAGGTATATATTAATCATCTATGAACAAAAGTCCACCAAATCTCATCTCTATACAAACTATGATGAAAATACTGTACTGTACAGTAATATCTCCGTTAGCCTGAATCCCTCAAACCCGGAACTCTCTGATAGCCGGAATTGAAATTTCCTCGGAAAATCATTTCCAAAGCCGGAATTTTCCGGAAAATTCCGGCTTTGGGAAAGAGTTTCCAAGAAGCACATTTTCCTGAAAATTCTGAAAAAATTTTCACGATACCCGGAAAATTCCAGAAAATTCCGGGGATGAGAGATATTTTTCCGGGTTCGAGAGATGATGTAATGGGCAATTTCTGGAACTTCTGACAAATTTTTCCATTAACTGGAAAATTCCAGAAAATTCCGGGTATGGGTGATTTTTTCCGGCTTTAAGAGAGTCGTCTCGTTACCCGGAAATCTCTCATTCCCGGAAGTGCTCTGCACCAGTTGTTCCGGCTAACGGGGATATCGCTATACAGTCATTTCTGTATCTTACATGAAGTTGTGTCATGTAATTTTACCTAGTGAAAATGAGTGGTAGTATATAGGTATGGCTGTTGGTACAAATGTTTGGTGGTACAGATACTTGACAGTCAGTATAGCTGGGGCACTACACTGTCAGCAGATTCTGTTAGCATGTGATAGACATCCTAAATCCAATTCCTAGCTGGTTTAGAGTTTAGACTCTTGTAGATCATTCTTTGATGACCTGTTGACTTTAAATGAAGGATTGATGTGTGAAACCACATTTTATGACCAATGGGGAAGGAAAGGGTGACATGGTTTTCCTTTCTGTTCCCATAACTGTTAAGAACTGAGAGACCTGGAGTATGATCTTCCTTTTGTCATTAAAGTTGGTTCAAACCTTATGGATCTATATTACAGGAGCTACAGTATTAGTTTAAACCCCTGACCTGAAACTTATTTGGTCCTAAGACAACCAACAAACCAAATGGGATTGAATATTTAACCCTGAATTGACTGGATGAGAAGGCTCCTTGTAGAAACAAATATTTTGTGTTGTGATAGTGTATGCTCCCATTAGCCCCTTTGCTATGGGGATGCCACTTTTAATATTTTATTTTGCCAGTGCCAAAAGATATAATTCAGCTCAAGATGGTACCCCATACACAAGAGGTTAAAGGTAACATAGCACTCTTTTACAGGTACATTCTTCGTAGTGTTTTGGTGGTACAGCGGTGCCAATATGTCAAGGGTTATTCTAGTGTGACCATACCAAGCATCACAAGTTTCTCGGTCCCCATTTCCTCTTATACTAACACTGGATAAACAAACCGCCTGAATGGCTAGTAAACTGATGAATGGCAAAAACTAAAAAAAAAAAAAAATCACTTGTTTCAGTAGCTTACTGTTTCACCTCCAACATGATGCGACTTTCACAGAACTAATTTTATTGAGACGGGATATGGTTTGATTCCTCCCTACAGTAAGACTCCAGGATGAGGAAGGGAACACAGCTCTCCATTGTTGTGTACAAAATGGACATTTCAGCATTCTGAATTTACTACTTCAACCTCAGTACCGCACTGATGCTCACATCTCCAATGTTTATCTTGATACTCCTCTACATGTGTACGTATAACTTATTTTATCATCATCATATTTCTAGCTACAGACAACTAATGTCATCTTGAAAATACTTATTGGTAGTACTGTACTATATTTACATTATACTTATCATAGTTAGGAATCCCTTGATCCAGTGTTGATGAATATTGTTAAAATTAAAAAGGTGAACTGCAAGATATTATAAGAGAAGGGATTTAATTCAGATTTCATTATAATAAAATGCAATAAAATCAGTACAAGTATTGAAACTTCATAAAAAATAATATGTTGTATAGAATTGGTTCTTATTGTTTGTTTTAAGTAAGCTATTTATATTTATTCATAGTGCATGTTACTATGGCTGGATTGAGTGTGCCAAGGCTCTGCTAACATATGGTGGGTCAAGTCTGCTCCTGAGAGAGAATATGTGGGGAGAAACTGCTCTACATGCAGCATGTACTGGAGGACAGTGTATAGACCTGGTGGACTATCTGTTGAGCCAAGATGCTACCTCAGTGAACTACCAGGTATGTTGTGGCAACTGCTCAGATCCAATGAGCTGTATGGTTCTCTACAACAGGCTGAGTTCTGGTCAGAAGCAAAGAATGACATGAACCTGGGAGACTTAATAGTGTTCAGTGGCATTGTTGTGAATAGGAGCTACAGATGATACAGTACATACTGTATATGAATAAGATAATAAAGTTATAAACCATCATAAAAGTTGTTGAAAGATAAAGTGGGTCCCTGAGGTTTGACAACCTGTGTGGTGCAGCATGAATACATTGTTGTATTGTAGACTAAGAGCATTTAATTTTTTGGTAAACAGGGAGGCAGTGTGGCTGGCACAGCACTCAAATAGTTTCACATCCCCAACTGTAAAGTTAGGTACCCATTCACAGCTGGGTGTATTAAGGATATTTCAAGTGTGAACTCATAATCCTGAGGATAGGAGGTGAGTTTATATCCTCTTGGCTGGAGAGAGAGAGCACAGAGAATAGTCTTGTACCAGAGAACTGTATGTAGGTACAGTACTTGACTGTTTATGGGGGAACATACATTTAGGAAAAAGGATTAAATTATACAACTTTAAATACCTGATAACAGGATAATTCCTCTGTGGATAGAAAGAAGTCAGTTACTTCACATTCATAGATAATTTAAAAATAAAAATAAGTATAATTTCATGACTTTCAGAGCCCAGATGGTCACACCCCCCTGCACTCTGCATGTTATCACGGACACACAAGAATAGTTCAGCTGCTTCTGAGTCACGGAGCGGACATCAACCTCACGGCTCATGATCGTTTTAATAATTCTGAAAAAAAGGTAATGACAGAATTAATGTATTGTGTTGTTTTCTGTTAGATGTTGGAGAATTAGATGATGATTATTCTGATATCAAGTACAGCACATTTGTACACCTTGAACAATAATTCTGAATGATATTTTGTAAAGTACTGTATTTGGCATAGTTTTATTTATACTGTACAGCATTATTCATTAGGAGGAGCAGACTCCCCTGATGTGGGCATATGACAGAGGTCATGATGATATTGCCAACTTCCTTAAACACTTCCGTCGTCCAGGGCTCTATGAGGATTATGCCAGAGGAGATTATTTATCTGGGTTGGACACTTCTTATTTTCCCATTCCATCTCCTATTGGGAAGCTGAGGACGATGGTTCAAGGTATAGTACTGTATAGAATAGTTCACCTCTTGGTTACTAGTCATTAGGCAGTTGGTCTGTTCTTGTTTCTTTGTTATGATTTTTATTGTCCGCTGTTAGTACAGGAGGAAGCCAAAGTACTCGGAGAAGACCTGCCATGTTTGGTAGTGTCTGGATAACACCCTTCTCACATCTGTCTCAGGCATAAGCATTAAAAAATTAATAGATAAGAAGCTGAACAGATGGATCTAGTAAAAAATTTGTAATAAAATAAATCTGATTTTATCTTCAACTCAGTTATTTACAAGAGAAGTGAATCACTTAAGTTCAGTATCACATGAATGTTTTATATCTCATGTTCTTGGTAAGTTGTTTTCTTAAATTATCATTGACCCCAAAATTTACTCTCTTCTATATTTAACAAATAATTTATTTTGGTTTATTTGTTTTCAACTCTTTGAGGAAAGTAATGGCAACTCATGGTCATTACCCACTGGACGGGGCAATATCGAAGAGAAAACAGACATAAAATCACTTAAATCCTACCATAAACTCCTGATTTACACCGATATAGCTCAGGGGTCGAGGAAATAAACAAAGAATCACTCCAATCCTATGTGGGAGCCTCTTGTGGAAGCTACTCCATCACTACCACCATATTCCTCATCCTTGTCACTCAAATTCTCCTAAGATTCACTACTGCTGGTAGAATCACTGGTCAAAGCTTGAGGAAAGTTGTGGGTTATGTCTGGTGGGGGATAGTGTGGCTATTGACAACCTTGTGCTTGTTGTTAAGCACATTTCATGTATATATTCTCATCATTGTCATTAGAAGCTTCATGTGTACATCTTGTTCTACTATCACTTATCTCTTCATCCATTAAACTAAGTTTTTTCTTTGTATCTAATCATTACATTATATTTCAATCTCCATAATGGGAGTCATAACACTGGTTCTCTTATACTGTACAGAGAAGATAGATGTGCTTCACCTGCGGTCAGTGTTACCACCGCATCTTCACCTTAGTCTCTCTGAGATAGAGAGCCTAGAAAACATAAGCTCTGGCTCATTTGGTAAAGTCTACAAAGTGAGTACAGTACAGTACAGTATTCACTCAGGAGAATAATTTGGTGTCATTGGTCATAATACTTTTATTTATAACTTCAAGTGTTTCTTTGTGTAATAATATCCCAGACAATTATTTTCTGCTAGTAGTGTTTATACACTTCCGCCCATACTCAAGGATGCCATTATTTGTGGATCAGAGAAACTTCACATACCCAAGTCTCAGTTTGTGACCCTGAAATTCATGTAAATCTGTTTGGAAGGGGATGGAGGGGGATAGTCCCAGCAACCATCCAAAATTGGTTAATTCGGTAAGTTTATTTATTCAGAATTATTGTTTACATACATTTCTGGAGTCACTATCATCATAATTCATTATAAGTTTCATTTGCATAAGAGCATACTGTATTTTTACTTTTATTCTCTTCGCCGCTGATTGTCTCATTAGCTGCTTGGGCAGTCAGTCACATCTCTCTTATGCACTGTTGGTAAATACTGGGCATGTACTGGCTCCAGAATGTATCTGTACCTGCTCCAGTGTTGGTCAAGTCTGGTCTTAAATGAGCTCACACTCAGTGCCATCACAATGCTCTCTGGCAGATTGTTCCAAGAGTTTAAAATTCTTACTCCAAAAAAGTTTGCTCTGACAATTTTCTAAACTTGTGGCTTCTTCAACTTTAAGCTGTGATCCCTAATGGGGTGGGCATCTGCCAGCTCCAGGTATGAACAATCGACTAAATAATGATCTCTGAGGTGTTTATAGTACGGTGCTTCCTATTACATCTTTAGATTAGTTCAAATATGAACACATGTTGGTTTTACCCCATATTAACCCTTATCAATGGTTTAGTTTCACTCAGACGGCCGGCTGTGGCACGATACCACAAGTGATGGAAATTGAAAGAAAACTTTCATATACAGTACTGTATATACAGTATATTATAATACCCTGTACAACCTACTGGTAGTCTACACTAAATCATGCAGTATAATATATTATTTTAACACTCACTTGTATATTATATCAATTTAATGGGAAGGGGCCTCTTGTGGCTCCAGTGTTGTCATCATCACTGAGGGTGGGGTGGGTACTAAGGTAGTGTATGGCTGAGTTGAGGATGATGGAGCATCTTCTAAGGAGCCTGAGGTGAAACATGGTTCAATGGTGTGGCTGCTTAGTAGGGATGGTAGGAAGGATGATGACTTTATACATTGGAAATTGTTGGTGATGAACAGCTGCTGCTGCTGCTGCTGCTGCTGCTGCTGCTTCTTCCTGTTTTCTGCAGCAGGTCTGTATAGACCTGCAGTGGACAGGTAAATTTTGTGAATACAGTACTGAGTACTTTACTGTATATAGGTCAGGGTCCTCTTCCTTTGGAGTTAGATGAATTGCTACAGACAGCTGCATCAGTTCCTATGCAGCCAGTTCTTTCACATAAATCTCCTTGTCACTGATTCAGCTATGAAATGAGATTTTGAAGATCAGTTCATCCTTTTTGTTTTCTCTGATCCCTGTACAGTATCTCCTTCCTCATTCTTTTCCTCCTGTACTGTCTCACCATTCTTATCTAATTCTTTCTAATTTCAAGGGAAAATACAATGACAAGATTGTGGCCGTCAAAAGGTACAGAGCCCACCTGTCGTACGGAAAAAGTGACGTTGAGATGTTTTGCCGTGAAGTCTCTGTTCTTGGGTCTTTGGATTCTCCGTATATTGTCAAATTTGTTGGGGCTTGTCTACATGACCCCAGTGTAAGTCATGTTTGTCCTCACAGACACTCATGTGTACCTAGTTAATAATATGCACATAAAACTGTACACACATGTCTGCTGACACCCACACCTGCACATAAATCTACACACACACACACCCACACCTGTACCCATGCCTACAGACACACCTGCACACCCACACCTACCTGTACAAATATTCAGTCTAATTGAAGAGATATAAATACTGTATATACTGTACTATACAGAGGAATTCTTTAATGTTTTAAGGGAGAAATGTATACTGTATACTGTATATATAAAATGATAAAAAATAGATATATTGAATTGTGGGACTAATATTACATTTTTATTTTTACAGCAATTTGCCATAGTTACTGAATATGTACCTGGAGGCTCTCTCTTCAGCACACTACATGAACAGAAAAGGTCGATAGATACCATAACAAGGTTTAATATTGCCATAGATGTAGCAAATGGCATGTACTACCTTCACACTCTCCCACAACCAATTATACATAGAGATTTAAACTCTCATAATATTCTTCTCAACAATGAGGTTGGTGGCCTAATCTATTAACAATTTTACTTTAATATTGTGAAGATATAGTATATAACTGATGGTCCAATAGAACTGTTATATTGTATAGGAAGGTGATCAAAGGGCCTAAAATGTGTGTTGAGGTAGGTGTTTTGGGATTTTGTTCTGGACTTTTTCTTGATGATGATTTACTACCATTATTAACAGTGTCGTGCCAGAGTTGCTGATTTTGGGGAGTCTCGATTTGTACGCAACATCTTCGAGGAGAATATGACGAAGCAGCCGGGTAACCTTCGCTGGATGGCCCCTGAAGTGTTTACTCAGGTGACTATAAACTCATCCTTTACTGTACTTGCCCCTATAGGCTCATCACCTGCCCCTATAGGCTAATCACCTTCTCCTTATAGGCTCATCGCTTGCCCCTTTAGGCTCATGACTTGCCCTTATAGACTCATGACTTGCCCCTATAGGCTCATCGCTTGCCTCTTTAGGCTCATCACTTGCCCTTATAGACTCATCACTTGCCCCTATAGGCTCATCACCTGCCCCTATAGGCTAATCACCTTCTCCTTATAGGCTCATCGCTTGCCTCTTTAGGTTCATCGCGGCATCTCTGATAATACTCTCAAGTGTTTTACGTATTATGCTGGTCAGGCTCACCGGTCATGTAGTTGTTCGTGGAGTGACGACCACCCTTCTTGAAGATTGGACTCACATAAGCCACTTTCCATTATTATTATTATTGTATGGCTTGAGTTCTGGATATGGAATTTCCTAGATGAGGAGGTTGATATTGTCTTACCAACTGACATTTATGTTTGACTATTTCTGTACCTTGATAGGTCTTCCTTCCTTTATTCTGGAGGTGCCTTGTGAAATGAAAACTGCTTGATAAGATACGGATTAAGTTCACAAAATCATCACCAGGACATTTTATCACATAAGAATTATGGATAATACTGAACAATGGAACAGTACAGAATAGGGATATTATTGTTTAAGTGAACTGAGTCTGAATGAGGAGTTTCTTGTTATTCCTGGAACTAGAGAACAGAAAAAAATAACAGAGGGAACACTATAAATTATCTTCCCACAGGAAACAGGATTAATTATGATATATCACTACAAGATAAAAGATGCCATGTTATTCTTGATATATGTACAACATTTTCTGTTATCTATATATTTATCCTACTGTACTTCTCTCAGAGGATTGTGTATTAATGTCATCATCTCTGCAGTGTACCAGATACTCCATCAAAGCAGACGTTTTCTCTTTTGGGCTGTGTTTGTGGGAACTTCTGGCTTCTGAACTTCCTTTTGCTCATCTGAAACCTGCTGCTGCTGCTGCTGACATGGCATACAGGTGAGAGTAGAACTTTCTTTTTTCTTTTGGGTGTCCTCTTATGGTAAGTGTTAAATAGTTGTTTTGTGAACCCTCGTGGACAATGTGCAACTGTTAGGTATCTGGGAGATTCTGCCATTGTCAAAGAAGCATCTAACACTTTGTGGCAAGATGACACTAACCACATAAGAGTCTTTTTCTGTAAGTTGGATTTCTAGGAGCCGTCCCACCTTGGCATTTGTCTCACAAGGCCGACCAGTGAGCTTCAGGTCAAGGGTTTTTTCTCTCAAGGTTTATCCATTTCAAAATACTGTTCAACTAAACCAGTTAGAAAATCTTACCCCAGGGGCTCTCAGTTGGGATGTGTGAGGCCTTGTGGAAGCAGGTAGAGAGTAGCCACACAAAGCAGCTTGTGCACACCCTTATTCTGTGTTGCGTTGTCCACTGTTATGTATACTGTAGACCTACACTATTATCTCACCTTATAGTACAGTATGTGGATTTGTCATTAAAGGGTGTTGGTGGTACAGCAGTAACATGCATATCTCTCACCAACATGTCAAGGGTTTGAGTCTTGTTTGGCCCTGGCACACGTGAGAAGGGTGTTATCCAGTGTGACCCTCACTACCAAACATCACAGGTTTCCTTGACTCTTTTTTCCTCCTGTACAAACACTGGCTAGATCTACCACCTGAATGGCTAGTAACCTGATAAGTGGTTAAATGATAAATTATTAAGGCAATGTCATCAGTGCAATCTTTTAGCATGTCTTAATCCTCCAACACTGTAGTTTCCACTGTTTTTTATTACTAATGTGGTGGATCAGGCGACTCATGCTGTGTTCATCAAGCTTATGGGCTGATGCTACAGGGTTCCCAGGAGTCCTTCACTTATGTGACTGTTGAGTCAGTTGGCAGAGGGCAAGAGCTAAGAGTCTGCCACCACTACACTTCCACAAATGTACAACAGTCTGCAACCAAAGGAGGCCATTAAACAGGGCCAGACTCAATCTGCCCTCAGTTCCCATGCCCACATCTTGCTGAAATCAACCCTCCATTAGAGAGGTTGTTCATCTTGGGATATCTTGATGATCCTATCTCATGTTAAACTATGACACCAGGAACCTGTATTTACCCACCTTATTTACCTAATGGTCACACACTGGAGGTGGCCATGCCGAGGGAAGGAGGCCAGTGACCTGTGTAAGAACCCTCCGTTGTTCTTGATAATTTTGTCAAGGGCTGTTTTGAAGTCCAGTGCTGTTCTTGATTTCACAGCTTGGGCTGATAGACCATTCCATAGATCTACCACCCTCTGTGTGAAAAGTATTTACTTATACAGAGGGTATTCGTTGTGTATAATAACTTGGCGAGCTTGAAGGTATGTCCTCTTGTGCTGGTGGTGCATAACATCACAAAGAAATGTCCCTCATTCAAGTTTTCCATCTCTTTCATGATTTTGAATGTGGTATACAGTACTTTACTTAGGTTCTTTATAACTACGTGTATATCAGGCAACTCAAATCCTTCTTTCTTTCCTGGGGGGTGGGGGGGGGCTGAGGTAAGCTGGAAGCTGAAGGTCACTGGAGACTGGGTTTTGTTTTATGGTCTGCTTGGATTACAAAGCATGTGTACAGACATGCAGTGGTGGTAGACTCTTAAGTCTTGTATTTTGCCAACTGCACCTTTCTTTAGGGGCAGCAGGTGAGTGGGGGAGAGATCCTTTCTTAATTTTTGTGATCCTTTGCTGTATTTCTGGTGAATCATACAGTCGCACCAGTAGAGGGTCCTGAGAACCCTGTGACATCAGCCCACAAACTTGGTGATGAAGTATACGAGTCATCTGGTTCCTGGAAGGTTATAAATTGATTGGGGTTTCAGGCTCAGTCCACCATTTCTGCCTTACTGTGTCGGTCATCGTGTTTAGAGAATCAAGATATTAACCGGCTAAATTTTCTCTCTCAGACACAGTCGACCACCGTTAGAATTGGCTTTCCCAGTGGAGGTATCAGTTCTTCTAGAAAAAGCTTGGCACAAGGTGCCTGAGGAACGGCCAAATTTTTCTCAGGTTTGTGGGTCAAGTTTTCCCGTCGCCCAGTTTTATAAATCTAATAATGTTGGTTCAGTGTTAGATTAATTTCTTAGATTTGAAATTTGTTTAATGGTTCATTTAGAGCAGGGGTTCTTAACCTGGGGTCCATGGATGGGCTTCAGGGAGTCCGTGAAGGTCAGATAAAAATTTAACATTTATATTCAAGCCAAACAACAACAACCTTCGCATTGAAATGAACTATTGAGCAGAATTAAAGTTTTGTTTTGTTTAATTTGCACAAGATGCTTGTATATTTCATCTTTGTATGGAGTGGCCATTAATTTTTGCATAAAAAAGTGTGAAACATAATTTTTTGTTAAGATTGTTTACTTTATTCATACTTTGTGTATGTCACACACTGTATGAGGCAATGAATTTTTAATAAAATAAAGTATATACATTGCATGCAAAGTTGTGTTTATGTGCATTTTTCTAGGGAGGGGGTCCATAGCTTTCACCAGATTCCCAAAGGGGTCCGTGACTCAAAAAAGGTTAAGAACCACTGATTTAGAGGGATTTTTTTTTACCCATCTGGATCCCTTTCCCCTGTTTTTCAAATTTTCTGTTACTTTATATAATCAGTGGATGGTAAATGAACAGTTGGGTTAATCACCACAAAGAACTTGCATAGCTTTACCTTGGAATGAATATGTAAATCTTATTGTTTAATTTGTTTTGTGTTTTCTTTATTATAAGTTAATGTCTTAATTTTTTCTTCTACTTTCAGACAGTTCAAATATTTTATATCAGTTACTCCTACATTTCCTTATATTTTTCTCGTGCAGATAATAGAAGAATTAGAAATTTTGTGCAAGTCTCAAAAATCGGCTCTGCAGGATGGAGGAGACCTCGTCCACCCACACCATCACCTACATGCCTGCTGTGCCACTTGTTCAGTTGGCTCACCAACAGGCAGTACCACGCCCCCTGATGCTTCTCAACACACCAATTCAGAGCTTTCTGGTAGGACCCCAGCTTCCTCCCCCCCACTGCACTCGTTCTATTGGAATGGTATGTGGTCAGTTGCACTCATCCTAGATCCTGCCTTCTGCTTACCTCTAAACTGCTTTTACAGTAGAACTGATGCCAGTTAATTGCAGGTTTATGCTTTTTTGCTAGATTATTGAATATAGGTAACTGACTAATACATATTTGCAAGAATGTGTAGCATTTTGAGCTGAAGGTATGCCTCCGGGCTATAGTGCTATGTAGTGCTGATAGTGTGTAAACGTTTTTATTACATAATGCAACCCTATAGAACACTCGTCCAGTGGGTAAAGTTCTAGTGGTAGTATATTTTCACATGTCCCAATAAGTATTGACTCGTTCTATGTTCATTAAATATGATTATTGAAACAGTGTGAATGAACAAGAACTGTTAGGCAAATTTTTTACTGAATTATGAAAGTTATATTGAACAAAGTTCTGTTGGTTATCGAACTCTAATGACAGACTGAACCATTATTACAATATGATACAGGAAACAGTTGACTGTCAAAATACTACAAAATGAAATGTTTGTTAAGCTTCTTTTATGGCCTAGGGAGCTTTGTAAGTTATCTATGAAATATGTTACTGCCAAAGACCTCCTGGGCAGAACCTTAAAGTGACCTGGTGTGCAATGCTTGACAGCAAGCAGCATCGTCCTGAAGGATGGCGTATCATATGTCCCAACGGGATGAAGAAACTGCACTATTTGAGACTGAATGTGAGAAGGACCTAGGTATGTATGTTGACAATGAGCTGAAGTTCTCGGGCCATTGTGAGAAGAAGGTAAATCAGGCAAATAAATTATTGGGTCTTATAAGAAGGTCGTTCAGATATCTAGACGGTCCGTCCCTCATAACGATCTTCAAAAGTGAAGTGCTTCCCCATCAGGAGTACTGTCACCCCGCCTGGTCCCCGAGATATGCTAGGGACTGTCAGTTGGTTGAAAATGTTCAAAGGAGGGCCACCAGACTGGTGCCTGCACTTTGGCACCTCAGCTACCCTGAGAGATTGGAGCGCCTGAACTTGCCTAGCTTATACTACAGACGGGCAAGGGGAGACCAAGTTGAGGTGTATAAGCACCTCAAGGGGCACTACTCAGTCGAGTGTCCTTACTTGGAGCTGGCGGACGCTCGCCCCACAAGGATTCACAGCTCAAGATTGAAGAAGCCTCAAGTCCAGAAATTTGTGAGGGCAAACTTTTTCGGAGTGAAGGTTGTAAACTCTTGGAACAATCTACCAGAAAGTGTTGTGACGGCACCGAGTGTGAGCTCTTTCAAGACAAGACTTGACCAACACTGGAGCGGGTTCAGGTACATTGAGGAGCCGGTGCATGCCCAGTACTTGCCAACAGTGCGTAACAGAGACGTGACCGATCGCCCAACTGGCTAACGAGCCGATCAGTGGTGAAGAGGATAAAAGTAAAAGTAAAAGTATGTCTGGCTGCAGATGATGAACACATTGCATCCTGTCCACCAAGCATATCTGTATGAATCTGGTAGTTGTCTTGGGAATCAGAGGAGAGACCAGGCAAATTTTCATCTCATCAGAGCACTTAGTAAAAACTCACTAGACCCTGTGAGAGATTCTGCCTCACTGCCACAGTCCCCTACTGTCAGGTGAACTGTCTGAGAAGGGATAAGTGTTTTACATACTTTTCTCGATCTTTCATATCTACATATTATTTTATTGTTTGGGCTTCTGACACTCAGGTTTGGTTAAGATTGATGTTTGGTAATCTGAGTTGAGTGTTTTCACATTTTACTAATTAAATTTGCTGGTTCATACAGTCTCCTATCATCATACAAGGTAAATTGTACTTTTCTTTATACAGGGTGTTAGAAAATTCCCTGTGCACCTGCAATAATTAATACAGTATAGTTGTTCCTTCTTATACCTATATTGCTGTACTGTATACAGTACTTTGTTCTACTTGCAGTAAGCATTGGGAATGGTATCCACTTCCAATATTTACTGTATGTAGAACAAGGTAATGTATACAGTATAGCACTGTAGGTACTGTATAACAAGGAACAACTACAATATAGTGTTAATTATTGCAGGTACACAGGGACTCTTCTAACACCTGGTATATAACCCAAATAAAGTAGGAATGTGAAAACATTCCTCATGTTTTATCCTCTGCAACTGATCGAGCCAATCGGTTAGCTGCTTGGGCTGTCGGTCACATCTCTGTTATGCACTATTGGCAAGTACTGGGCATGAACTGGCTCCTGAATATATTATATCGCTGTAGGACTTCTGCATATCCTTGTAAATTGAGGGAGTTAAGAATGGTACTTAGTCTCTGGCACTCCTCCTAAGTGAAGAATATATTATTAACAATCCAGAGAGTCATAATAATTATGGGAGATTTAAAACCTTCATTTAAAACTTGCCAACTAAAGTAGACTTTTAAACTTTCATTGTTTGGGAAAAAAAATTGTGATTCTTATAGAGGGATTTTGCCAAAGTAATTATCAGGGATTATTTGTTGTGCACCAAACCTGGCAGTTACAAGCCTTTTCTTTTTTCTTAATATCAGATAACCGCGGCTAACCCACTAAAGTATGGAAAGTGGCCGTAAAATGATGATGATGGTGACCACTATCCCTTATAATGTTTTGGTCAAGTGATGGCCAGAGTTGATGCAGTGTAAGGTTGTCTTACAGTAACCTAACTCTTTATTTACTTATTTGCTTGCATAATAAATGAGTTTTCTCCATTACATGGCAGTTGGATAAATATACTAATACATATTTTATTAATTCTGTTTATATAACCTTACACCTGGCTAAGTTAGTCCACTGTTTCCAGCCAAATTCTGTGGGTAGGAAATTCTAGACCCTTGAGTAAAATGCAGAGGAACTTCCCTAACTCATGCACCCTTGGCACCAGTGGGGTGGTAAACTTAATCATTTTGTGAGCTAACGAGTGACTCATATCATAGGTACAGTGGACCTTGAGACCACGAACCCCCCAAAATCAGGTGCAGTACAGTTAACCCTTGACTTACGTGTTTTCAACTTGTGTGAATTTGTCTTACCCGGTACCGTGATTTAGTTTTGAACGGCACACAAGAAAAATAGCCTAAAATTTCACATGCTTCCCCAGTTCCTGCAACCACTAACACAATGTACTGAGTACTGTAGTGAGTCTCGTGTAGCGTTGGAATGAGGGCGATGTGGGGCTCGGGAACCTTTTAGGCGGTAACCCACTCAGTTAGTCTTTGTTTCACTATTGTAAGGTATGGTACTGTGTTACATATACCCGTTGGAATGTTTTTACATCACTTTCACACTTGTTATAAAAAATGAAAAGGAAACGTTCAAGCAGTGATAAAAGTAGTTCAAGTAGCAAGAGGCAGAGAAACATTATCACTTTAGAAATCAAGTTATTAGATGTTTTGAAACATTATGAGTGTACATCTGGCATTAAATGTTGCCATCGTTGCCTTTGCTGTCTCAGACATCACGATCACCTGATATAGATGATTCCCTTCCCCAATAACTCCTCCTCTCCTCTCTCACCACCAGCCAGACACCTCAAGATTTATTTAATTTTCTGTCTTAATACTGTACATATAAAACTATTTACTTGCCAGAGAGTGTTGTGACGGCACCGAGTGTGAGCTCATTCAAGACCAGACTTGATTGACACTGACGCAGGTACAGATGCATTCTGATGCCAGTACATGTCCAGTACTGTACTGTACTTGTCAACAGTGTGTGTGTGTGGCAGACGTGACCAACCGCCCAAGCAGCTAACAAGCTGATTAGTGACAAAGAGGAAAAAGTAAAGTAAATAGAAATAAGAATTAAATTCATAAAAACATGCAAGGTTTGGTGAATATTCGGAAATGCAACTTCTAGTATTATTATAATGTACTGTATTTATATGGGACAAATCATTTCAAGTATGGATACATCCCCAAGAAAGCATTTATCATATAAGTTGATGGATATATTTTGTAGTCCTTGACACCTAATTAAGGATCTGTGGTCAAAAAGTTTAAATTTTGGTTTAGTTTTAAAATACTAATTACTCAGGACCATTGATTTTTTATGGCAATTTTTGTACCATTTTGGATTTAGTAAAGTAGATACATACACATTAGTTTCCATTTCCAATAGAATAAGAGTTTTTCAGCTAAAAGAACAACATTTTGGGCCATAAAACTTAATAACTGGTGCCGTATGCTGAAAATTCTTGCGTCCTCCTTCTTCTCTTAGGGCGGATGAAGTGAATTGGTACTAAAAGGGGTAGACTGTGTCATCTGTTTTGTTACCAAGGCAAGTGAGGGTCATGGAGCACATACGTGTTGGAGCAGCGGCAAAGACCATAATCTTTCATCCTTAGCACCAACTAATTCCACTTAATAGGTCAAAGTTGTGTTGAGAATGATCAAGTTTTTCTGATTAATTTCCGGAATTTGGAGCACTGAGTTGTCAACCCATGAGCCTGAGCCTCTCAATCAATACTCAATTTTAAAATGGGGTTTTAAAATCATTCCTAGGTACACATATGAAACCATTCATAGTACTGATTATATAAATGTTGAATTATTGAAACAATAATGTCAGTTGTACAGTTGCCTGTACTTGTGCATGGTGCATTTTGTGATATGTGGCACCTCTGTGCAATGCTTATCTAGTATCCTTAGTCTGGATACTATTGTTACTTTCCTTAGGGCCATTCCAGGAGTTTTAATATGATGTAAACAAACACAGAGGCGCCACATCTCATAAAACACACCAGCCACTGTACTAGGTATAAGTGCAGGTGACTGTACTTTGGGCATTTTGTTATATTTTTATACACAGAATATATTATATACAGGTGGAGGAAGGAGCTTCTTGGTTTTTATAGGCACTGCAGCAGGTCAGGGAAAGGATAAGTCATTCCACAGATGACTCACATAAGTTCCTACATTAAATATTCCTTATAACTGAAACTATAAGAATCCACCCGACTGGTTACTTGAGCTTTAACATAACAATAACATCCAGAAATAACATGAAAAT